TAAATTCGGTGAGTCTATGCACCTGTCACACCTACGACGGCGCAGAACCACGCTTCCTCTCGACACACCCCGTGCATACGACCCTGACAGGTCAAAGGGAGATCTCACGGTACCGGACGTGTGGTTGTAATGGTAGCTCCGATGTTCTCCTGGCAAGGGCGAGGCATTTGTCTTCCGTCCGTGGCATTTGCGTGTCCCGGAATGGTGCGTCTGTATTGAAAACTCGGTTGCATGGCATACATCATGCATTATACATGTCGATCGGGGCCCCTGGGTACTTCGTCGTCGTGCAATCTCGAGCGCGCTGCGTGGCAGACGAGCATCCCACCGCCTCCCGCTGCCGAGTCTGCTATGACTTCGACACGAGTATCCGCCCCAGATACTGGGTCGGATGTACGGGTCAATAGTATGGCTCCTGGACCGGTGGCGGATTCGCTGAGCAAGTGCTACTGTCTCGCAGGCCATTACAATTACCTCGGACCCGACAGTGCGTTATGCCAGGGAGCTTGCCGTGATGCACCGATACCGTATCTGCGGGGCTCCATCTCAGATGCATCCGCTGCTCGCGTCTCGTGAGCCTCGGTTGGTTACTCGCTACTTGCCCCAAATGAAAGAGTCGAGACGAAGCCACGGACCGCCCACATCTGCTTGCCGTCAACTGTTACGGCCGATGCATGCACTTTCCTGCGAACTTCTTCACGTCGAAGAGCAGGGCTGTACAACATATAAACGGACGTCGACTGTGACTGCTCGGGTCCGCTGTTCCGTGACTCGCGGAAAGCAGACACGTAACACGTTCCTCAGCTTCGGCGGGCACGGTGCCTGGTCTGCCTTCTGTTCGGTCCGTGCGCAGTGTAAGGGATCTACGATGGAAAAGTGTGACATCCGCTCGATGGCGCGACGGGATACCCGATGCACCGAGGGAGACTTTGGCGAGCAGCGTACTACTGCATCGTCAGGCTCCCGAGAAGCACGTCCCGAACCCGACGCTGTGCCCAGGCCCGGGTCTCTGAAAGGTCTAAAGGGGAACTCACAGCACTGGCCGTGCGGTCGTAATGCGAACTTTGACGCTCTCCTGGCGATGGCGAGGGTCGTCAGGGGAGATCAGTCTTTCGTCCGTGGCGTTTGCGCGTCCCGGAATGGTGCGTGTGGTGTACACTTGGTTGCATCGCACACATGGTGTCATACATTCTACACCTCGATCGGGGACTCTGAGTACTTCGTCGTCATGCGATCTCGAGCGCAGCCGACGGGCATTCCACCGTCTCCCGTCGCCCAGTCTGCTATGGCATTGGCGCGAGTGCCCGCCTCGGATACCGTTTTGGGTGTATGAGTTGATATGGCTCCTGGACCGCTCGCCGAATCCCTGAGCGAGTGCTCCCGTCTCGCGGCCAATTACAATTGCCTCGGACCCGATGATGTGTCATGCCAGGGGGCTTGCCATTATGGCCGATACCATCTGTGGGGCTCAATTTCACCGCTCGCCTCCCGCGACGGTCTCGGTTGGTTACTCGTCACTTGCCCAAAATGAAATAGTCGGGACGATGCCAAACGAGGCCCCAGCATATTCACCCTGACCTCGACTGAAGCCGGTATTCTGTCATTCGCTGGCCGGTGAGCTGCTGATGATTATAACAAGAGGCCCGCGCGCGTCGAAGGTCCGCGTGCAGTCTCGGTACTGCAGCGTAGAAGATACAGGCACGCGAAATGTGACGTGCGCCACTTGCAGGTATGTACTTTCTGCTTTAATAGCAAGACTTGCTATCCCCACGGGCAGTTTTCATGTCCTGGGTGTAACGGGGACATATGTCGTGCAAACACATGTCTGAATTCCGGGCTGCTCGACGCAGACTTCTGCGTTGGTCAATGCCCTGCTTCCCGTCAACGCGGCAACCGTCAGAGAGCACACGAGATACAGACCAGGCACTTCCTGTTCTCAGCCTCGTGTCGATCGTGACGGGGATCGTGCAATGCACGACTGATCCGGACTTTGAATTGGGTCATTGCAACGGCATCTGTTCCGTACCACGGACATGCCCCAGAGCCTTGGTCTGCGTCTGCCTTGGACGGTGTTCGGACCGTCTGATATCTGGTCTATTGGGTGACCATCGAATCGCTGATCTGCACGACGGTGTTCAGCTTGAGGACGTGACGGGCTATACAGAAAGGGTCATCGACGAGCCACTGACTATCATTGCATCGTTCAGCTGTTGCACGGAGTTCTCGATAGGCTGCACCTTTGCGACGAGCGGCTCATTGCGAAAGTGAAGACTCGCTGTGCATAGGTCACAATAGAGCTCGCCGCCACCCCCATGTTGTCGGAGTCGTTGGATCATTCCATCGCACTCCTTTTTTTCGAATGAAACCGAGCTCTACCGCTATGGTATAGTGTGCATGCGTTGGCGATGAGGCTACTCACCGTCCCGCAGTGCCTCCAAGTCTGCCAGGTCTGAGTCTGCGATACCCACCCTTTCCGCCTGCGAGTAGCTATCGTGATGGTCTGGGTCAGTCATTCTGTGCCGGGTCACGCACACAGTAAGTGTCTGCGTGCCATCCGGGGAGAGGTGCACTGTAGATCAGATGCAGTGAGTCGAGATGCGCAAGTACACCGGCGTGCAGTAGACAGAGTCGGGTAGAACCAGCAAGTTGAATCGCGGGTAGAGTGTATCGAGAACATGCAAGACTAGAGTCGCGTGCGGTCGAGCATTCAGAGTCAAGAAGCATGGACCGGCGAAGTTGGCTGGGTAATCAGACCACAGTTTTGTTTTATATAGCACGGTGACTCAGAGAGGTGAGTGCTACATAGACCGGCACACAATGGTCCCGAAAGTCCTCAGTAAGTGCGGTGCATAGCACTGTTCCGCTCCTTGCGAGACCTGGCCGTACATCCTGGTACCAGCGACTGGTTTTGATTCAAACCCGGGTCCTCAGGCTGAACGACGATCGTATACAGGACACACGAATACCTACCTATCTGGATAGAGAGCGTTTGAATCCTCGAGGCTATGCCACCCCGCCCGCTGCTCGTAAGTTCTCTCACTCTGTTCATGCCCTTCTCTGTCCTCACTCGACTGGCGCAACAAGTTCCGTGACCGTCAAGCAAACATCGGGACCTCATGCCTTCCTGACGATGGAATTCGATGACGGCGGCGTCGACTCGAGGCAGATCCTACAGTTTTCTGCAAGACATGCAGTCCGTATGATATGTGAGGGCCGGACGCGTGATGTGTAGGTGCGTAGTCCGTTTGATTGCGAGTCGCGGGACACGGGGCCTGTTTCATGATCCCGCTAATCCTCAAATGTTCGTAGGCCCAGCTGTCATTGATACTCGCAGAACGAACGAGACCATTCACTCAGCATCGAGCCGGTGATCTCGTGGACCCATCGTCTTCAACAACGGGAACACGCGAACGCCGACATAACCTACTACCTTGACAGACTACGCGTGAACTCCTACCGTTCGTCATTGACACTCCCGCCCTTCCCCCGATATGTGCTCCAGCCTGAGTGAGTCTATTCCATGGTCCTCAATGGCTCTGTCACCGTGGTCCACTATCAGTTGTTTGCGTCCACCGCGGGACCCCTTCGCATAGTCAAGGGGACCCCATTTCGACGCGGTTTGAGGCCGGCATGCGAGTAACCGAGTAACAGCGATGTCGGACTCGCCATCTCGCTCACGTCGATCCCTGGATTCCACAGCTCTCCACGCTCTCGTCTCGGTGAGTCGCCCACTGAGCTCTACCTCGAGCCGTTTGATAGCAAGCGGTCTCGCACGGAAGCCGCGGCCATGACGAGATGTAGCCGGCACCGCCAACTTGAAGTCACTCTGGTCCGACGATGCGATGCGCTGTGAGCGCGTCGAGCAGGCTTGTCACACCAGTCGGCCAGAAAGGTTTACGGTGTGCAGGTGCGTAATTCATTCAGTCGACTGGCTCGGCGGCACTCCGAGACGAGATTGCTCACGTATACTCGCCGACATCCGCAGAACGAAAGGGCCCGGCAGCCCGACGTGATGCTCAGAGGGCCGACGGCGGACGGGCGGTGTTAATTGAAAGCGTCACTGCCCCGGCCCCGAGATCTGCAGACAATCGTTCGGCAGCTGCCTCTGCGCGACCACGGAGGTGCTGTTGTGACGTGGACACAGGGATACTGCAGGGGGACTGCGACGGCTCTGACCGCGCTCGCGTTCCGTGTCCGACGCCATGTAGAGTAGCTCAAATCAAATATATCCATTCCTCGAGACTACATTCACGGTCACCGTACCTACTTCAAACAGCACAAACGACGTGCTAGGCGTCCGTCACGGCAACCGTCGTCCATCGTCGTGCGGCGTGTTCCCACCGAAGTATCGTGTTTGCGCCCTCTGCGTCTGCGACCGGCATCCTCTCCATAGCTCCTGCCTCGCATCCTCCCCGAGCCGTCCCACCACCCTCCAGCTCACTAAACGACAGATCATCAGCAGCAGAGACACCGCGATAGTACTCACCTTCCTTGCCGCGAAGGATGGTCTTGTCGACGAGCAGGCTGAGGGCGACTCGCCGACGGACGCATGTTGCTCGAGGAGGGAAGCGTACCGCCAGTGCTCGCTTGCATGAACGACTCGGCAGACGTGCTTCGCGGGCTGGACGCGACGAGCGGCTGTCGTGTCAAAGGGAAGCACGATGCCCGCGCATCTCGTACGATGCTACAACCCGTCCCAATTGCACTTCCCTGAGCGGCACGGGTCGTAGCGCACTGCGTGTGCCGTCTACCTGAGACGCAGGCCCGACTGGCACGTCCTTGCGCCGTCTTCTGGCGGGTTGCGCGGTGGAGTCAACTCACCACGACGGGCGACGCGGTCGCGCCCGGCTCCTGCCCGTCCCGCAAAGCACCCTCCCCAGATCCGTCCGTTGACGAAGAACGCGGACCCAGCCCGATCAACGCGCATGTACCAGCCATCGAGCATGGGCCCGAACGCCGGCGTCGGTGGCACGGACGAGGCTGGCATCCATGCCAAGTGGCGCCACGCTCGCTTCCGCGGACGTCGCGCAGGATGCGCCCCGGCCGTGGTGATCGCGCTCTCGGGCGAGGTATAAAAGTGAGGGCTGTGGGCGAGAGGAAGCATCGGTGAGTTGCGTTCCGGACCTAGTCGACTGGGCGAGTACTGACTTCCTGGTCGCAGCAGAGCAGACGCGCTCGCCGAGAGAGCGCGCCACGGCGACGGGCTGCGGATCGTCGTGCACGGTGTCGAGGCCGTCGGTGCTTGTGCTGCAGGGCGAAGGTACGCAAATTTGAGGTTCAGGTGGTCCTGGCGTCCGCTGACGACGGGCGACCTGCTGTAGCGCGTCTCCGCGGGAGCCATTCGTCCAACACGCGGGTGAGAAGGATTCGCGTCTGACGAGCCTCGTAGATGGCTGTGGATGGTGGGCAGCGGGAAGAGATGCTGCGTCGCACGATAGAGGGGACCGTGTGCTGTAGGTCTAGAGCAGTGAGTATGTACGAGTTACTTGTGGTTGAGAGTGCGGGACGGGTCGTGGGCGCACGTACGTAGGATCGCACAGGACGACTTGGGGGTTGCATTGGCGTGTGTGACCTGCACGTCGCGCGAGAAAGTGCACTGCCGTCCGTCGCTGCGAGATACCTGCGGGCGGGCGGTCGATGCTTGCAATCGGGGAGGGTCGCGTGCAGGTTGTCCAGTGTGCGTCGCGCAAGTGGAATGTCGGTCATTGTCAACAGCGATTGCGAGATGTCTGCAAAAGCGCGTGGGCGCGCGTACCGTCGTACGTATGTACGAATGCGGTCCCGTGCGTCAATGCAACTGTCTGAGCTTGTTTCGCGGGCATGGGCCCAGTGTGTTACGGAGCATACCGCGGCTGGGGGTGGAGTCAAGACGCGTAACGGACGATGGCAGCGCCGGGCACCGTCGAAAGGCAGATGCGGGGTTTTGCTACTTGCTGGCGAGAGGCACAAAAAGACTGTAGACGACGCGTAGAGCGTGGCGGGCGCTCTTGGGTAGCGTCGCACAGAACGGCGTGTAGCGAGCCGTCCCACGCACGGGATCGCTCCAAACGACTGGGGGGTGCACGGCGGGATGCTAGGGCGTCGTTTGGCGGAGCCATTGCGGGGTGCAGAGGGCGCATTGGGCGCGGGGGAAGGCGGAGGCAAGTCGGAGATGGGAGCTTAGGAGATGGGTTTTCTGGATGAATGCGGGTGATTGCAGAACAAAAAGATAAACGGACCTGTGTGGACCCGAGAAACAGCTAAAAGGCGGCGTTGGGGGTGTCGACGGACACGTCTCGGCTGCGCGCATGAGCGCAGGGCAGCGGGACACGGGGCCGGAGCGCAGGGAAGGGAAGGGCGGGGGAGCAAGACGGCAGCGGGATGGAGACAGAGAGAGCAGCCAGCGAGAGGAGGAGGAGGAGGGGATTCCATTGAGTCCTCACGGCTGCGTGCCATAAGGCTCGCCACGTGAGTCAGAACGCATCGTGCAGCAGCGACGAGAGTCGTCAGATAGACGCCCAGACACGGCGCGCCGATCGACTCGGATGACACGACTGGGAGCGGTCGTCAGTCCCGCTGAACGCTGACAGGCTGCGTCCCTCTGCAGCAGCAGTCGACCACGGATGACTGGTGCACAAATGTGCCAGGCTGGCTGCGTCGCAAGAAGCCTCCGCACTGCGAACCGCCATCATCCAATTAGATGACCTATCAAGCGCACAATGTCCCGGGCTGATGCGACGCAAGATCTTAGAATCGCCGCCGGCATCCAGGTCTGTGCATACAAGCGTATAAAAGGCGGATATGCCTGCCGTATCCCTCAGCTCCTCTTCTCCTTCCGAGCTCACCGAGCAGGTTGCCGGCAAGTGAGTGTCCAGCAACGATGGTAGTTTGAATGTTAGACTTACCTTGCACCTCTCTACTAGCCTCGCTCTTTTTGACGACTCACGTCCCTGACTCCCTTCCACCAAAATCCTTCGTAACGACCCCAGTGCATACAAGACATCATGCGTTACTGTACGCTCGCCTCCGCCGTCCTTTTGGCAGTGGCCGCAGCTCCCGCGCTCGCTCACCCGACCACCATGTGAGCGGCTCGTTGCACATTCTTATCCCACGACTGAGCATACAATGATAACAGTCGCGCGACTGAGGATGCCTCCATGGTTGAGCGTGAGCTCCAAGACGGACTGGTGGAACGCGGCTGCTTCGGCGACCTTCTCTGTCGGACGCGCAGCGCCAAAAAAGCTTCTACGAAGCCTAAGCCGCCGCCGAAGAAGAATAAGCCAAAGGTCAGATTCGGAGTACATCGTGCGATTAACCTACATTTGGATATGCTTCGCCAAGCGTAGTTCACCCCGACTCGGACTCGCACATTCCAGGACGCACAACGGTATATATGTAACGGTGTAGACACTGAACCGGTGATGCAATTTGGTACAGTAAGTAGTGCACACTGCAAATGTCCGGTTTTCTTGTTGCACGCGCGTTAAGGCCACGGTTCACGTTCACGTTCAAAACGCGGACACGGCTCCGCCATGCCCCACTCGGCCCGGGGCAGACGCCCGAACACACGGTAACGATATTGGCAACATGCAGTCCAACCTGCGCTAACTTACTTGCTACTTATCAGCCTGACAGTGAGAAATGGTTACCCCCCACTGGCCGTATCGCTCGAGTGAACAAGTTGCCGTGAGCCCTCGGCTTCAACGTCCCAACCAAGATGTCGGGCACACTGAATCTGGATACGGCTGTGACGCTCCCCTCCGGTACGTGGCCCTATACATGGCTGCTGGCGTGCTTGGATCGAACCAGAGGACGGACGGACAGGTCACACCATGCCCCTGTTGGGTCTGGGAGTGTACCAGAACGACGACTGCGTTCCAGCGTGCCTCGCTGCGCTGAAGCATGGCTATAGGTGCGTGTGTCCCAATGCCAACAGCGTTGATCCAGCCAACATATCTGATCCTCAGGCATATCGACTCGGCGCGTATGTATCGCAACGAAGCCCAAGTCGGGCAGGCAGTGCGCGAGAGCGGTGTACCCCGCGCAGAGGTCTTCGTGAGTGCGTTACAAGTGTTCACAGGACGCTGAGATCACATCCTAACGGCGTTCGAACTGGGCAGCCACCAAGATATACGATCCTGACCACGGGTACGAAAGCACGCTGAAGGCTGTCGACGAGTCTCTGCAGAGCTTCGGCTTCGGTCAGTCAATCAGTCAATAACCAGTCTTCTCACTCACGCCTCAGATCGTCAGACTACATCGACCTCTACCTGATTCACAGCCCCCTCTCCGGCAAGGAACGGCGCCTCGAGACCTGGAGAGCCCTCCTCGACGCCCAAAAAGCCGGCAAGGTCCGCACTGCTGGTGTATCTAACTAGTGCGTCCACCCCTTTGCCTCTGCACAACCTAACACTTACCACCATCACCCGGGGTCAGTGGAATCAAGCACCTCAAGGAGATTCGCGACGCCGGGCTCGAGACACCCGCGGTGAACCAGATCGAGGTGCAGCCGTTCTGCCAACAAGGGCCGATCGTCGAGTACTGCCGCAAGAACGGGATCTTCGTCCAGGCGTACTGCCCGCTCGTGCGCGGGAGGTTTGACGACCCCGTCTTACAGGAGGTCGCGAGGAAGTACAACAAGGACGGAGCACAGGTTCTCGTCAGGTGGTCGCTGCAACATGGGTGCGTTTCGCATCTTCATATCTCCACGTCTGTGTTTGCTTGCTGACATTGGCGTTGTTGTAGGTACAACCCGCTCCCGAAGTCGTCCCGCCCCGACCGCGTGGTCTCCAACGCAGCCGTGTATGACTTCGACATCTCGGGTGAGGACATGGCGAAAGTCGACGCCCTCGACAAGGGCGCAGCGGGCGCGACGAGCTGGAACCCAGTTGACGCGGAGTGATGGACTGCGCATCAATACGTCCCTGAGGGCAACAAAGGGTGAACGCAGAATGTATTACGAGATACGACTAATGTAGCAAAGAAGAAACGTCCGCGCTGTGACCTCCCGTCCTCATCGAACCCGCTGCCTTCATTACGCCCTCCACGCTCTCCACGTGTCGCGCAGCCAGGTGAGCCGCTGCACACTGAAGAGGCCCTGCCTCGTACCGGCGTCGACGTACTGCCTCTGCTCGAGCGCCAACGCTACCTGCACGATATCGACAGAACGGTGAGCACTTCCATTGGCTTCGAGGGGAACGAGGAGCTACGTGCATCGCGAACGAGACTCTGCGCGTCCTCCTCGCGCAGCATGCACACGACCGTTGCGATGTGCACGCGCGAGAGCTCCTGCGAGGCCTGCACGAAGAGCGCGTGGAACACCGGCCATTCGTCGTCGGGGATCGTTACCGGCTGGTGTCGCCGGTCTGCAAGAGGTGCGCAGGGTAGCAGCCTGGTATAGTAAAAGAACGACGCACCTCGGAGGTACTCCTGCCACACCATGTCTATCCAGGCACCTGTCTGGCGAAGCTCTGTCGACGAGAGGATGCGCCCTACGACATGCGGTTTTAGGATGCTTTGGTACGAGGTGGAAGGCTGCTGTTCGGTTCGGTCGTCCGACTCGGATGTGTCACTTGTCCCAACATCGCTACCAGAGAAATCCGATGCTAGGTATCGCAAGCCCGCGTGCGGAGACCGATGCGCCCCTCGTTCCTCTGCCCAATCACGCCTCGGGCGGCAGGCCTTCCTACGCGCGTCGAACTCTTGTATGTCATGTAGGATGTGCCAGAATAGCAAGTACCGCTCCAACAGCTCAACTTCTTTCGGAGGGGCCTTCTGCCGACGCAACTCGGCAGGAGAATACGGTATCATGCCTAGGAGCTCCGTGACCTTCTGTCCGGCCGCGACCCACGGGCCACCGGGGGATCAGCGGCGGCGAGTTCAGGAAAACAGTCTCGGACCATATACTGCGCGGTGAAGTTGACGACCATGTATTCAAAGTCGAAGAGGTAGACGTCGTATACCCGTTCCAATTGCCGCGCGAGCTCGGCGTTGGATCGAGCGGGCTCTGTGTTGGTCGCAGGGACGTGCACGAAGCCCAGCTTCGCCGCGATCTCTGGCCAGAGCCTCCGGTGCGAGGCCTGCCATAGAAAAGTGCGTAAGCTGTAGGTCATGGAGGTACGTCACGTACCGAGAGGCTGCCTTGCGCGGAGACGACGCAGTTGAAGAGCGTGCAGAGGTCGATCGGGCCGCCCTCGGACAACTGGACGCAGCTGGGGACGAAACGCTTGCCTTCGTTTCTACAGTGGTCAGCGTAGATGTGAGGGAAGTCTTCTGGGGACACGTAGATGCCTCTCGGGAGGTTCATGGTCGGTACGCTGCCTCACTGAGAACGTCAATCTTGCTGTCTGTGCTGTGAACTGCGAACGAGGGGCCCGGGGTTTCAAGATGACGATGCCCCCTCCCCCTCGCCGCCGCACAGATATATGGCATACTTCTTGCCACCGGTTGCTACGGCAATGCCACTCATTGCCCTGTGCGTGGTATTGGTGTGGCAGCATTCGTGCTTTCACTCGGGGCGGACGCCCTTGCATTGTCGACGTCGCCACAGAAGTGCCACATGTGCACATAATGGAGTCCGCAAAGTTACTCATTGCATTCGCATTTTCATCAGTGTTGGCCACGAGCGGAAAAGTTGCCGCGCGGAAGACTCATAGTGTACATGTAGTGAATGGATCGTATAGAAAATAGTGATCACTGGCAGACCGACTCGAGGGACACCAGAGATTTGCCAGAGATATTGAGTCCACTTCAGGAGGCGCCCGGCAGGTTGCCGGCAGGCTCTCACTTATGGGCGCTTCCGGGTCGACCCAAGTTCTGCACTGACTGCACTTGCAGGCCAATCCACGGCCTCGCGATCTTTCAACGTGAACAGGCTGCGATTCTACTGTGAATCTTGAACTACTCGCTGTCCCCACTACCTGGAACAGTGATATCTTTTATTAACACCACCGGCTGAAGGTTGTCAGTACATACCGATCAGCATCGAATCAAACCTTGCCGTGCCGCCATTCTCTCATCGGTCCCACACAACTGGCCGAGGTTGACATTACACACATAGAATAGAAAGTATAGCAGGCTGAAGGGATAGATCACCAATATTGTATCAATGGAGCCAGGCTTATAAATAACGCTCACTACGATCTCACCCTGACCACCACCTTCACATCGAACGTCCCTCTCGTCTCACCTACGAAAGATGGCCCTAACCCTCAAGTCATCTGTACGCCTCTCCTCAGGTATGTACCACTTGTGTTGTCAAGGCTGATGTCTCGCTCACGAATACACCAGGTTATACTATGCCCCTCCTGGGCCTCGGGGTTTACCAGAACAGCGACTGCTCGCCGGCCTGCCTGGCTGCCTTGAACCACGGCTACAGGCTCATCGACTCCGCACGCGTGTACGGAAACGAGGTAGACGTCGGCCGGGCAGTACGGGAAAGCGGTGTGCCGAGGGGCGATGTCTTTGTCAGTGCGTGGGTCACCTAGTTCTCATGCTAGCGACGACGCTCAAGTACGCCGGTATACTCTCCGTCGACTCGACAGCCTCGAAAGTTATTAACTCTGAGCACGGTTTCGAGAGTTCCATCAGGGCGGTCGACAGTTCGCTGCAACGCTTCGGCTTCGGTGCGTCAATGTCCAGTCCAAGCCACGTCCTGGGCTGAATGGCTTTACGCGACTGCATCGGGATGATAGACTATATCGACCTGTTCCTGATCCACGATCCGCTCTCAGGCAAGCAGAGACGTCTCGAGACCTGGAGAGCATTGCTCGAGGCGAAGAAAGCGGGCAAGCTTAGGACTGTCGGTGTCTCTAATTTGTACGCATGCCCATCCATTCACCTCCTGGGAAACATATCTTACTCAACGTCGGCAACCTCAGTGGCGTAAAGCACCTCGAGGAGATCCGCGAAGCCGGCTTGGAGACGCCCGCCATCAACCAGATCGAGCTGCAACCTTTCTGCCAGCAGAAGGACATCGTCGAGTATTGTAACAAGCACGGGATCTTCGTCCAGGCGTACTGCCCGCTCGTGCGCGGACGGTTTGACAATCCGGTGCTGCAGGAGGTAGCTAAGAAGGTACTGTACGCCGCACTGGCTTGGTACCGGCCGTCGAACGGCGTCTGACTGAAGTCCTCACTGCAGTACAACAAGGAGGTCGCCCAGGTCCTCGTCCGGTGGTCCCTTCAGCGAGGGTACGTCGTCTCATCCTCTCATATCACCCGTGCATACCCCTAAGCGCGCGATTACACCACCTCCACAGATTCAGCCCGCTCCCGAAGTCATCTCAGCCCACCCGCGTCGTCTCGAATGCGGACCTGTATGACTTTGAGATCTCCGCGGAGGACATGGCGAAGATTGACGCGCTTGACCAAGGGAAGAAGGGCGCGATCAGTTGGAACCCTGTGGATGCTGATTGAGGATGGGGGATGGTGAGTTGGCCTATGGGTAGTATTCCGTATGTGGGGTGTTCAGATCGACGAAGAACAACAAGCATGTACAATAACGTGCTGCGACAAGAGCGTGCTTGCGAGCTTTTGAGCAGTTGTGACAGTCATAAAGTTTGTACGTAGACGTACGGCCCTCTAAGGACGGTTCAGCGTGAACCGGAAGGCAATTCCCCATTAGCCCTTCCAAGAAGCTAAGGCTACTCATTAATCGATTGTATTCGTAGACACTTTTGATGCTGCGTTTTGCACAAGCATGAGCCTCAGAAGAGCCACTCCCCCGCACTCTTTCGAATCGCAAGTTTTGGATGCCATCACTCTCCTTCCCGGCGACTCCAGGACCGATGATCTCCTCATCCGGGATCTCCTGTAGGCGGACCAGCTCCCGGCGAAGGTACGCGACGAGGGCTGCCATGAGCTCCGGATACGCGACGTACTTGTCCGCCTCGTTCGGCGCGTAGTCGTGCACACCCGACCCGTCATCCCGCGCCTCCTCCACCTCCAAGCCCCGCTCGTCAAGCTTCTTCACCTTCTCCACCTCCCCTCCGATGAGATTGACGGAACGCCGGAAGTACGGCTTCGAGGGGTCCTGCCCGTCGGTCGGGTAGACGATGCCGCGCGCCCCACGTCCGCCCAGGATGTTCCGCCACGCTACCGCGGCCATGTCCGCGTCGCCACGGAGGAGGGAGACGTCGAAGGACATGCCCATGCCCGCCCACTGCTCCTTGAATATTTTCATCTGCTGCCCGACGAGCCGCTCGGGCGCGCGCCCCTTCGGCCGCTTCCGGTCCGGGTTCGCGATGGTGTAGAAGTGGGAGGGGCCGTGTAGGGATTCGTGACGGACGCGGGCGTGGCGGCGGAGTCGGGCGTGGCGGGCTGGAGGATCGCGCGCACGCGGTCTTCGACGTCGAGGAAGAAGTGGTCAATAAGGGCTTGGATGTGGTTCATGCCGTGTGGTGGCGGTAGAGCGCGCAGGCGGACAGTGAGCAACCAGACGTGGAGATTCACGACGGTGAACCAGGACTGGAACGTCGGTGGTAGGTGACATTCTGGCATGAGAGCGGTGGTCAGTTCGTGCATGGCGCGCAGTCTCGTCACAGGCATTCATAGTCAGAGATTTGCGTGAACCTAAGATCCACGCGTCCACGACGCGCATACACGCCTGAAGGAGACGTTCCACAGATATGGTGCAGAAAAGAATGTGCGGCACGAACAACGTCCACCACGCACCTTCCTGCCAAAACGCCCTGTCCTCGTCGGGCCTGACGATGCACAGTTGCTCGTACATCGCGAAAGCGCGTCTTCCCGCGACTTGCTTAGGGCTACCGTACCCCATCACGTTTGCGGCTTTCAGAAACACCCTTTTGAGTGCAGGCGACGCCTCCACTTTCTTGGTGAGCCATGACTTTTCTCGCGGATGTGTGGTAGAGGGTCCTGGGGCGGGTTCCGCTGGTTGCTGTTGCTGCGCTGGTGGTGGTGTTGAGGACGCTAAACGAGCATGTCGACGAAGAGCGATAGCCGTGCTTCGAGCACTGCGAGCAAGCATAGAACGAGGCAACATGATCCGGAAGGGTGAGGTAGAATTGACGGTACGCGCGCGTCTGGCTGAACCACCTGGCGTTGATGCAAACTTGGTCTCTGTTAGACTTTTAGATGGCCTTCTAGCCCTGTGAGCAGGACCTGGACTCGAGTCTTCTAGTCGTCGTGAACGAGCCCAGGAAGTCAGGGGGCGCTGGCGACGACGGCGGTTGGACGACAGCAAGTGACAGGCTAGTACAGCAAACGGAACTGTTGGGCGCCAAGGCGAACTGGCTCATCTCTTCCCGCCACGGCGTTGCTCTACCCATCACTCTCGACGCTGCGGAAGTTGGAACTGGTTTCTTTCGCTTGACCACCGTGATCTTCGTTTATGGATGGGCTCTCTCGTTCACCGAAGGACTCTGCAACATCGGCAGTAGACTTGACTGGCTCACCCGCTGGACTTAGCGTCACCTCGCGCCCGACTTCTCCTACATTCATGGCCTCGGAACCCCGGAGCAGCTTCGCGCGTCGGCGCGCAAGTTGGGGACGCGTTGAACCAGGGCAGGATCCTCTACACATCGACATCGAGCACCCACAACCACCAAAATCGAGCTGGAGACTCGACGACGACCCGTTCGCTTCACCAATGGATGAGCGGCCGTACGGGCACGAGATGTCGTACCGCGACACCCGGACTCGGTACGAAAATGCTACAGGTAGCTACCAGACAGCACAGGCAGGTCCGTCTTCTGTGTCTCTTATTTCAGAGTTTCGTGGGTCAGGGGACACGCTGGACGGGCAGCGGGAGGACGACGAGGCGCGGTTAACGAGCAACATGGACAAGACAGGTGTGGGTGGTGTGGGTTGGGCTCTGTCCGACGAGGATGACCCTGAGCGGTCGGTTGGCGGATCAGCGCGATCACGACGACGAGCGAGTCGTTACGGAGCATCGCCGTCGCCGCTGAAGAAGACGGGGAACACGCTCAAGCTCATGACGGGAAACCTGCGTCGGGCGTCGATACGTGTCGTGAATTTTGCCGGGTTCGGCCTCGAGGACCATGTGCGGCTCGCGGACGCAGAGGATGAATCACCGGAGCACACGCTCGTGGACAAGGTGCAGGCGGACGACACGGGCGAGGAGGAGGAGGTCGCATCCCTGCCCGACCTGTCACGTAGTCTCCCGATTCGCGGGCGCACGCTTGGCTGCCTGGGCTCGACGAGCAGGATCCGTATGGCGATGTACCGCTTCCTCGTGTATCCGTGAGTGTGCCGTCTCTGCGCAGACGTTCGCGACGTGACCTTCGCTCGCAGATGGACAGAACCTATCATACTCCTCCTAATCATCTTCAATGCAGTACTGCTGACAATACAGTCACATACATCGGCGGCTCTCGATGTGGACGACAACGGCAACACCCCGCACCCGCTGTATCTAAGAGGTTACTTCCATCAGTGGGAGGACTATGCTCTGTTTGCGTTGTTTTGTTTCTTCACGTGAGTGCGTTCTATGCTTGCTGGGCAACTCGCTAACACCCCCTAGGCTCGAGGCCTTCGCCCGAATGAGCGTTTCGGGCTTTCTATTAGACCCTGATGTCCCTGTGTCGTCGCTATTCACGTCTGTCTCGTTCTCCAAATACCCGGACCCCTCGATACCTTCCATGCGCATGGAACTACAGACGCCACTCTCTCGCAATGCATCATCGCTGTCTCGCAATGCATCCCTCGGTCACTCGTCTAGTCGCTCGCGTCGCTTCAACGTCGTCCACAAACTGCAGCATTTCGCACATAATCTCGCCCGCCCATTCGCTTTACAACACCATTCAATGTCACTCCCTCTCCAACCACCTCAATCAACGCCTGCGTCCTCTGCTCCCCAACGCACACCATCTACGCAGCATAGCCGGTCAGACACCACCAACTCTCGCACTGCGATTCTTGAACCGGCGGTCACGAAAGCTCAAGAAGTACATGCGCACATGCGCAATCCTTCCCAGCCGACGGTGTTCTCAACGGCACTCCGGTCGGACAATCCGGATGTCCTCGCTCTTCCATTTCGGCTGAGTGTCGCGAATGCACGGCAGCAGACGCAGCGGAACGTGCCGTACCTACGGCATAGTTGGACCCGAATAGACTTTGTAGCTATCGTCGGCTTCTGGGTTTCCTTCGCTCTGGCTACTGCGGGCGTCGAACAGGGAGAATATCACATCGGTATCTTTCGCGCTCTGAGCGTCTTGCGGACTGCGAGGCTCTTGGCCATTACATCCGGTACAACCGTACGTCGAGACGTGAAGTACTCATATATCTTCGGTTGACTCTTGTGGTGTTCTAGACGATCATGCGATCCCTCAAGACAGCCCGTCCATTGCTTGCGAGTGTTGCCTACTTCGTATTGTTCGCGATGATCCTTTTCTCGTGAGTCACTCTTCATCCAATAGCAGGTCGTAACTAATGCGTATGAAAGGATCATCGGGATACAGTCATTCAAGGGTTCTTATCTCCGCTCGTGCAACCTATTGCCTACCATGGGAGTAGAAAATTACACGGACCTGACCCAGAATTGCGGTGGTTATGTGAACGCTACCACCCTCGAAGTCATGGGTTATCTCAAGACAGACGGTACATACGGTTCATCCAAGGGTTATATTTGCCCTGCTGGTCAAATCTGCATGGTAAGTGGCATGGCCACTCTTCGTGTCACCTCCTTGACTAGGTGTGGCTCTCGTGCAGGAGGATCCGATGAACCCAGACAGCAACATGGAGAGTTTCGACACAATCTACTACTCCGCTTTGCAAGTCTTCATTGTCGCTTCGGCGAATGGCGTACGTCATATCTAGGGTGCACTTCATGGTTTCCGCTTATAGCCAATTTCATAGTGGTCTCCGATCATGTACAACATGATGGACGCGGAGTTCTTCGTGTCCTGCCTCTTCTTCATCACCTGCGTTGTTGTGCTCAACTTCTGGCTCATCAACCTCTTCATCGCGGTGATCACAAATACGTTTGCGGCTATCAGGTCAGACACGAAGAGAAGTGCCTTTGGTGCAGCAATGTACGTAAATTCTCTTATGACGTCTGCTTTTGTGAAGCTGAAAACTACTCGTTAGAGAGGCCCCTGCTATGATGAAAACAACGAGGGTTGGACCATGGTGGACGGCAGACGCGTCTCAACGCGCAACCGCATCAAGGAGGTCTACGAGAGCATCCGCTGGTGTTGGGTTGCCTTGGCTCTCGCTTCACTTATCTTGCAAGCCACTCGTGAGGTGAACATGAGCACTACGCACCAACAGATCCTCAATATCGGTGAACTGGTAATCACTATGGCCTTCGACATCGAGATCTTCATTCGTGTGGGCGCATATCTCCCAGACTGGCGTGCGTTCTTCTTCCGTGGACAGAACTTGCTGGATTTGTTCCTCGCGATCGCGTCAAGCATCATTCAAATACCGGGTATCCATGACTCGGACGTCTATCCGTGGTTCACGATATTCCAGCTTGCGCGATTTTACCGCGTCATACTGGAGATCCCAAGAATGAAGCCCCTGCTTGTGAGTACAATCCCCCGGCTGTAATGCACTTGTATTGACTGGTGCATAGCTCGCCGTGTTCGGAAACATGTATGGTCTGGCAAACATGACGTTGTTCCTCGTCCTGTTGAACTTCGTCGCTGCGCTAGTTGGCGTCCAATTGCTTCGGGGGGACATTGCCCGAGGCAACTATATCGACTATGGCCAGATATACAACTCATTTCTCGCCGCCTATCAGTTGTTCTCGTCGGAAAATTGGACGGATGTACTCTATGGTGCCGGAAATCCGGAGATTCCCCTCAGACAGGCACCCATCATAGTCTTGTATCTGACCGGGTGGTTTGCGCTTGCGAACTGTACGTTTTATCGTCCTCGTTTGTGCCTCTTCTGACGCGACTTTAGTCATTGTGCTGCAAATGTTCATTGCGGTCATTAACGAGAACTTCGAGATCGCCGAGAATTCGAAGCGGAGTAGACAAGCCTCCCACTACTGGGCCTCACATCGTCCACAAGAGACCCGTATACCGTGGCTTCGCAGACTGAACCCGTACAGGTGGATGAAGGCGCAACCAAAGGCAATTGCGGTTGAGCAGTTGCCGTCGGATCTCATCCTTCCAATGCAGAAGACGTTGGTAGATTCTTATCCCATGCAGGAGAAGATAGTGGCAGATGTAAGTTGGCTTCCTCACCCCGGCCGTGCATCTCTGGATCCTCACCGTCACTATGTGTAGGAACCTATGACCCAAAGCATCTTTGAAAAACAGAGTGCTAAATCGTATTTGCGCCACCTACAAAAGCTTTTTGCTGGTGAGACTGATGCCGACCGTGTGCCGCTCGCGGCAATGCGAAAAAATCGTCGGGACTCTGCGGCACCTCAGGATGCAATAGACGAGGAAACCGAACGGCATCTGTAAGCCCCTTCTCAGCTCAGAATATCCGCATGTCTGACCAGGGCACAGCGAATTGTTGGCAACCCTCAACTCGGAGGCAGCCGCGGCGGAAGATTTAACTGACATCATCTACGAACGACGGGCGAGAAGGGCGGACTTCATTCGCGATCACCCTACCTATGACAAGACATTCTGGCTGTTCTCCCACAAGAACATCATCCGGCGAGTTTGCCAGAAGCTGGTGTCCCCGGCAGGCGGCGAGCGTATATTCGGCGCACAGCCGTCTCCGATTGCGCACCCAGTCTTCCAGGTCGTTCTCCTACTAGCTGTCATCGGTGGGATTGTGGTTGAGTGGATAGCCACCCCAACATACCGGCGCAACTATCAGCTGCAGTACGGGCAACTACGCGGATCCTGGTTTGACATTGCAGAAGCGACATTCGGTTTCACTTTGTTGCTGGAGTTCATCATCAAGGTCATCGCCGATGGATTTGCCTTCACGCCGAATGCGTACGTGCGAAGTATCTGGAACATCCTCGACTTCCTCATCCTGGCTGGCATTTTGGCAATCTGTTCAGCGGTCTCATCTTCGTCGTCGGCCTCAGTCGTCTCACGAGATCGTTGAAGGCTTTGCGAGCCCTCCGCCTCATCACACTTATCAACATCATGCGGTCTACCTTCGAATCGCTGATCATCTCTGGCGTGGCACGAATCCTGGATGCTTGTCTCTTGGCCATCCTCTACATGATTCCGTATGCTGTGTGGGGTCTCAACATATTCGTCGGTCTTATGAAGGAATGCAATGACACCAACGTCTCCAACGTGGGGCAATGCGTCGATGAATACTCGAACACAATCTACGGTGATTCATTTGGGTTCTTGGTCCCTCGGGTGTGGGCCGATCCCTCTCCGTCCACGACATTCTCATTTGACAACTTCCGTGCGTCTCTGTTGATCTTGTTCGAGATTGTCTCGTTGGAAGGTTGGATCGACGTCACCACGGTCGCAGTGAGTCTCATCGGACAAGGCGAGCAGCCCCAGACGAATGCGCGACAGTTCAATTCGATCTTCTTTCTGATCTATAACCTTCTGGGTGCGGTCATCATTCTGACCCTCTTCGTCAGGTGCGTGTCGCGGTCTGAATAGCATGACATTCAGTTCGCTCACCGTTGCATCAGTATCATCATTGGCAACTTTACCTCGAAGACCGGCTCGGCATATCTCACACAACCTCAGCGAGAATGGATAGATTTACAGAAGTTGATCAAGCGGCAGCGCCCCTCCAAACGACCGAAGCGTCGACCATCATGGCGTATCAGAGCCTGGTGCTTCGATCGTGCAGTGCATAAGCACGGTTGGTGGCACAGGATGATGACGGTGGTTTTCACTATCCATGTAATCGTTCTGATGTGAGCCATCGGTTTTCTCATTCGTCGTCGAACCCTCCGACTCATCGAAATGGCAGGACTCAGACACTTGGTACCACCTCGACGCTCGATCGCACGCGCGGTATGGATTATGGTTTTCTTTTTCGTCCTGCAATCCTGACATCAAAACATCAGATACATTCTTCTTCGTGGTCACGATCATATATTCCATCGACACACTGGTGCGGTTCTTCGGTCTGGGCTGGCGCAGTTTCAGTGCCAATGGCTGGAATATCTTTGACATCATTGTCGCTACGGGCAGTCTTCTGACAACCTTTATTGTCAATTTCGGTCCTAGCGGATTTGCAACTCAACAGTTGCAAAAGTTGTTCATCACTTCAATTGCTTTCAAGTTGGTGCAGCGCACGAACTCTCTGAATAAATTCTTCAAGACCGCCGTGTAAGTGGTTGTGCGCTCTCTGAAGGGATGAATGACTCATGTCCGGCGCAGGGCAAGCTTGCCAGTGATCATCAGCCTACTGTTCCTCTGGATCATCCTCTTCCTTTTCTTTGCGATCATGTACATGGAGGTATTCAGCATGACGAAGTGGAATTCGGCGGAAACGAGATACCAGAACTACACGACGATGTCGAAATCATTGGTTATGCTTGCATTCATGACGACAGGGTAAGTATCTACCATCTTGTACGATGTCGTGGCCCTCACGTCCATCTGTCATGCAGGGAAGGCTGGAACCAGTACATGCACGACTTGTGAGTGCAGCACGCCTACACATTGTACTCGCTGTCTCACATCCTTTAAGTGCGTTGGAGTATCCCCGGTGCACCGTCCTGCCTAATGGCGACTCCGATTGTGGCAGCACAACCTGGGCGTTCACGCTCTTCATCGCTTGGAATCTGCTTAGCATGGTGGGTCGTCTGTTGCCATCACATGCTGCTATATCGTCTCACATTCTGTCTCAGTACATATTCGTCAACCTGTTCGTTGGTGCGCATCGATTTCTTCTCCTGTCTTCGAATGATGATGACACCTAAACAGGTGTTGTCGTCGAGAGTTTCTACTATGTGTTCCAGATGTCGGGTGGATCAAAATCCATCACACGTGAAGAAATGCGTAACTTCAAGAAAGTCTGGGCCGCGTTTGCCAATCCGAAGACAGGGTACCTAGAGAGGGACCGCTTTGTGCCTTTCTTTGGTGTGAGTGGTTTTCCTCAAGTCGTCAGATCTGGTGTATTAACTCTCTACAGAAACTGAGCGGGATCTTCGAGGTCCGGATATATCCTGCCGAGTTCAATATCCGACGAATAATGGCGCAATCGCTGGCGGATCCAACCTCAAACTCTGCTTGGCCAGCAGCAATAGTGGAGGGCATGGATCTTGGCAAATTGAGTGCGACGCTAGGTGGCATAGATCGCGCTACCATTAAGCGGAGGAAGAATCTGTATAATCGACTCTACCATGAAGCTCGGATCTCGCACGAGCCTGGAAAGGGCATATCATTCACAAATATGCTGTTACTCCTAACGCATCACAGGCTCATTGTCGATCGGGATGCTCTGGTGTGAGTGATCGCGTGTCACTATTTGACTGTGATACTGAGGGGCCTTGAACAGACTGAAGGACCTAGTTATACGGACGGAAACGAACAAACTTGTCACAGACCTTGTTGACTTCGACCGCGTCCAGTCTTTGCTACTCATGATATCTTATCGACGGCGGTATTTAGCAAAACGCGACGAAATACGGCGTATGAAAATGGCGGATCAAGGTGAGCTATCCGTCGCACGGCGCGGTTTAGACTTCTCATTGTTACTCCTTCCCCAGACATACCTGCCATCGTCGTCGATGACCTGCTCACGACCCCCGTTCTCATCACCCGCGACATAACCTCACCTAGCCGAGACAGTTCTGTGGAACGCTTTTCAGATCCCGACTCCCCTATGTCGCCGACCTTCGGCGATCGTTTCCCGGATTATACGTTGATGCCTGACTCTCCTTCACTTCATATTCACGGAGGAGGGTGAGTGACATCAGCATGCTGTCACTCAGTCCCGGTCTTTCGTGAGTCGGCTCTTCAGTAGCGCGTGCACCAACGCTGACGATTTCCCTAGCCCCGATATGTCCGCACGCGATCCTCACTCTCCGGTAGACGACGCGCAGAACATTCTCGAGACCATGCAGGGATCTGTTTGGAATGGTATGTACTGTGACCGCGCATTCATACTAAACTGACGCCGACTGGACAGAGATGATGCTGGAGGCTGAAGAGGAGGAATCATAAAATCATTACTTCGCTGCATATAATTCACCGGACTCTAGAGGGACACATGTAGACTGTAGACATATTGCACACCATTGTAGGCACCATGGCACTGTACTAGCGTAAGACTTTATTGTGTAACTTATCGCTCAGAGTAAAATGGGACTACTAATTCACCCTGGTACACAACATACAGCACAATAAGGTCGCGAACCGATCAGAATCTGCCTCTGCGCGGCCGCCAGACAGTCTTCTTCTCGACAGTCTGGAAGCCCTCTTCCTCCTTAGGCGGTTCCTCCTCGCAGCAGCTGGCGTTCTGGGCGCAGGCGATGCAGCACGGGAAGTGTTGATGGCGGGCAAGTCTCCATCCTTCCTTGCTGCCTCTCTGGCACGCCAGCCACCACCCTGCAGTGCGCCAGGGCGGTACTTCGGAGCGGCCGCTGGGCTTTCTGAGCGGACAGGACTGGCAGCGCGGGGCCGAGGAGAGGCAGGCGGCGGTGTTGCTGCAGCTGCAGTAGACCGCCTCCAGGTGTCTCCGCTCGGCGTTGCACGCAATGGAACAGGTGCCGCAGCTGGCGCGGTCCGCTCAGGCGGCGCGTTGCGACGAGCCTTGGCTCTCTCAAGCGCCTCCTCTTCGCGCTGCTGTTGCCTGCGAACTTGCTCGAGCATGGCCGTCCGCTCCTCCTCGCGCTTCCTGATTGCTGCAGCCCGCTCCTCCTCTTCTTCGCGCTTCTTGGCTTCCTCGCGCTCGCGCTCGGCGTCCTCTTCTGCTGCGCGACGCTCCTCCTCTGCGATGCGTTCTAGTAACCACTGTCAGCTCGTACGAGACAAGGGGTAGAGGAATGAACAAACCCTCTTCTAGCCGACGTTCCTCTTCTTCCTTCTCGCGTTGGATTCTCTCCTCCTCTTCGAGGCGCGAGCGCTCCTCTTCGCGCTGCTTGAGGATGGTCGCCCTGCGCTTCGCCTTCTCCTCCCCGATCTTCTTCTGCGCGAGCTCCTGTCTCTTCTGGAACTCCTCCTTCTGCTTGCTCATAATCTCCTCCTTCTTGGCGAGGTAATCGGGCATCATACTCGCGACCCGCTTCTTCGTCTCCATGTCGCGCTGATACGCCAGCCGGTGCGCCTCGAGACGAGCCTTCTGAGCGGCCTCGAAGGCTTCCTTATCATTCTCCTGCTGGATCTCGTAGTCCTTGGCAAGAAGAGGACGCTCCTCCTTGCGGTACGCACGCTCGATGTGGTCGAGGCGCTTGGCGACAATGCGCATACGCTCGGCGACGTCCTTCTTCTCCTTCGCTAGCTGTTCGACCTGGAGTCGCATCAGATTGTCCGTGCTGATGTTGTCCATGTCCTGACCAATACCGTCAGCACTCCGAACAACCAGTGACAGACGAAGACACCTACTTCGATGTCGACCTTGAGCGTACCCTTCTCCTTGAGGCTTTGTGCGAGCTTTCTCGCCTCCTCGTTTCGGATGTTTTCGATCTCCTCCTGGCCCGCTCGACCTCCTTCTTGCGCAAATCCTCCATCGCCTTGCGGGACTCCTTCTCCTTCTCAATACGGGAGAGCTCCGCGCGGCGGCTGGCTTCCTCCTTCTCCTTCCGCACCGACAGCTCCGACAAGAGCTCACGGCGACGAGCAACGATCGCGCGACGGAGCTGGAGCGCCTTGCGCTCCGCCTGAGCCGCAGCGACGAGGGTGGTGAACTTCGCCTGCTGCTCTTCCTCAGAGAGCGGCGCGAACGGGTGGATAGTGGCGAGGGAGTTGTGCAGGCACGAGGCGAGGCTGCTGAGGCGCGTGCGCACGAACTCTGATGTCGAGGGCTGCACGGAGCCACCGGTGCCCGTGGATGTGGACGAACTCGGGTCTTCGACGGCGGCGAAGAGGCTGTCGACGAAGGTGATAGTACCGTCGGCGTGGTCAACGCGGACGTTCAGCTCTCCCCGGCGGGCACAGCCCATGACGTAGGCCTCGATCTGCTCCTCGTCGTAGACCTTCGTGCCCTCTCGGTCGAGATCCCGAATGGGTGCAGCGAGTTCGTACAGGGTGCTGATCTTGATGGTAGAGTACACCTGAGACAGCTGCGAGAGCAGGCGCGAAAGCAGGGCGCGCTGGAGTAGGGGAAGGTAGGACGCATAGGTGCTGTCGCTTGGAAAGGCCTTGAGCAGGGGCTCGACTGAGGAGCAGAGGGTAAGCGGGTCGAACGTGACCTCGAGAACGTTGTACAGCTCCTTGACTGACTTCGGCGACAGCTTCAATACGTTGCGCGCGAGCTAACTTAGACATGAGTAGACATCACTTCGGAGAGAAGACAACGACTGACTGCGTCCTTCAAGAGGCTAGTGCGGGTGGGAGTCTTGGTCAGACCAAGCAGTGCGGTCAATCGCGCATTCTTGCCCTTGCCCTCTTCTGCCGCGCTCTCCTCACCCTGCAAACCGACTGGCACAGCCAGAGCACTGACAAGCACCTGTCCCGCCAGCCGACTCAGTTCCTCCTCCGACTTGCCACCTATCGCGGTGACAATGGCGTAATACCGGCTCCAGGCGGCGGCGTGGTAGAGAGCATTGCCACTCATGAGGAAGATCCGTGTGAGCTTCTCGTAGTAGTTCGCCATCATTGCGGGACGAGGTGCCTTCTTGGCCATGGTGAGGAGGTTGTGTACATCCTCGACAGACCGGAACGCCTCCTGCCAGAGCTCGAGCTCGACTGAGGTATTGAGCTGCGCGAAGCGTGTGTCGAGGTGATGCTGGAGGGTGTCGGGGTCGGAGAGGTTGATGGAGTGGGTCTGATGAGCGTACTTGGCTACGTTTGCAAGATGGAGACGGAGAGTCTCGCATAACCGTCGGAACTCAACTTTCCGCTCGTGCTTCAAGCAGAAACGGAATGCCTGTTGGGCGATTTGCTGTGGGAAGCGAGGTGATTAGCATGAAAGTGGCGGTGACGTAGCTTCAGACGATCTACAACGTGTGGATACCCACCTGGTAGATGCTCTCTAACCGAGCATTGTTCTTCAGAGTCTCCAGAGCCGTGCGGTAGCTCTCCCATAGGAATTTCAGCCATGGCGTGACGAGAGCCCTATCGGTCCTGTCCTTGTTTTGGTCCCCGCTCACAGCGCCGAGGAGGATACTTTCCGGTGTCTCGCTCGCCTCGAGATCATCCACATCCGTGAGCGCAACTGCCTTCTCCGCCTTCTCCTGCGCCTCCTGCACTTTTGCGTCCGCTAGCTGGATAAAGCGGTTGATGACGACCTCGATGGAGGCAACGCTGCTATTCTGCGCGATGTTCTTGTATTGCATCAGCCCCTCCTTGGCTGTGCGCCCTTTGCGCATGTCGACACAGAGTTCGATGAAACGAATCATGATGGGCTCGAGCGATACGAGAGGTGCTGAGCGGAACCGCTTTGAAGAAAACATCTCCGTCAATGATTGCAGAGCTGCGTGCATCTGCCCGACTGATACAAGGCCTTCGGCCTGCTTGAGGATCGCCTCTGGCTTGGAAAACGGCGCCATGGTGAAGTCGTTTTTCTGCAAAGGCTCGTTAGGGAGTTCTCGCTCAAGCTGCGAAACAACGACTCACTTGTTGCTTGGATACTCCCGAGCGACTCGCCTACAACAGGGCGACTTGAAAGGCTCGGTGGTCGTCGATGATAAGCAGCAGGCTGCGTGCGCAGAATTTGCGGTGACGATGGACGTGTGGGACACGCGGTGTATGCTTAAGGTTTCGTGGCTTACGGCTGAATTGCGGAGTTCCAAGCTTTACTGACTTATGAAAGTGCTCAGCTATCCCTGTTTTCTGGCGCCGATAAGAATTGGCTTATTGGTTCCCTTCCCCACGAGCTCTGTTCCACCCATATGATTCAGCTTCCTTGCCTTTGTACTGCTACGGAATGCGCTTAGCTTTCATCCTCGACGAATGCTCGTGCAATTAATGTTTGAGCTCAATCTGTCGGTGTTCCGCAATCCACCGATGCCGACCAATTGGTGTTGTTCGATTGCACCGCCAGACGCCATGAACTTCTCTCTCGCTCGCAGGGTGTAAACCGGCCACTTTGATTTGGTACTAAGCCCTGGGTAGCTCTGGTTTCGTTTGCAGCAATGAAGACGCGGTCATTTGCTCTGTCTGTGATGTCTCTCTGAGGTGCGCAAATTGTTCGAGTCACTGCGCTCACAACTCAAATACCCCATCATTTGTTCCTGTTCAGATCGTGCTCAGTAGTGCACCTGACGGTCCGGCATCCCATTGCGTGTCACCACATACATACCATTTGGTCAGGAGAGGGAGGGCATACCGGCCCCGATTGCAGCTACACTAAGGGTCATTTCCGGTGATTTCCGGCGAAGATAACTGAAGGTAGGTCGCCATCAGCTATCGAGTTGTGACTAGGACGGATCGGGGACGGACATTGCGAAGTATTAACTTGGCCGGCCAAGCTGCCGTGCTCTGTACAAGCGTTACTGGCCTGTGGCCGCGTGCGTACTCTGTCGATGTCCAAGACACGCAAGCCGTAAGTAACGCCAACGTCAGCTAGCAATGATTGGCAAGACTAATGATTCGGAGGAGACTTGTTCGTAGTTCAAGTGGCCACGCACCGCATTGCCTGCCAGGCAGATCCGGAGATTACCTGGTCATCATAGAAAGTCTACGTCGCTGAGCTAAGGTACGAAGATCGACATGCATCTTCTAGCTTGCTTTGCCTATCTTCGCAGCAGGTGGTATGGGGTTGATATTGCTGACGCCGTTGACAGCGAAGACTCCGAACTGCAGTGCGCTCCGACGACCACCCTATACAATCACTTCTCGCACAAGCAGTCAAGTTGAAGCTCAGTTGTGCTTGCACCGACGACTCTCGAGCTTTATGCCATGCCGGCTTGTACCTTAGACTTTTCCCACTGCTTATCGCAAGTTCCACCATCCTTGCGATAGCGCAGCTATGCATGGCGCGGGTCGCTCGCTCTTCGGCGCGCCGTCTGGCCGTTCGCGAGTGTCCATTATTCGGCATCAGTCTCTGCTATGAGATGCCGACTAGGCCAGCTCGCCGTTCCTGATCGTGCGTGATTTTCGCGATATGAGTCGGGGCCAAGGAGGATGACCACTCGCGCGAGGAGGGTAGTTACTACAAAACGCATGGCAAGCCGTTCGGACACGCTGGCTGATCCCATTCTTCGAAGACAGGTGCAGCAGTTGCATGTCTGACCGCGAAAGCTCTGTTTACAAGGGTGACCCTTCGTCCAAGTCTCAGTCCTTGCCCGAGCTGAAGGTGAAGGACGCGGAGAAGGTAGCAGTCGATACTCTTCCTGTCATCCCGGAGGAAGGCAATGTTGGTCTGTCGGAGTTCGAGGCAGCCAAGAAAGCTGGGGTGCAGGTCACGAAGACGGAAACTCGCAAGTAGGTCATGGTCGATCAGACTTGGGGAAGTGATGTAACAGACGGACTGCTATAGGATCGCGCTGAAGATTGACATGTTCATTCTTCCCATGGTGCGGTGAATCACAATTCTGCACGGTAGCGGAGCCCCTTAATTCTCTACAGCTGTGCATTTCACAAGGACTCAGCTATCGTGAGTGTTACCCATCTTTCGTCTACAGAACGTCGCTCACACGGGGCTGCCAGTGGACAAGACCGCGTAGGTCACTCTGCAGATCGCATGCTCGAAACTATCAACCAATGCTCTTCCCGTCAGGCTCAACTATGGTAACCTCTATGGTATGAAGACGGACCTCAATGCCGGAGGCAATCAGTGGCCATGGTTGGCGAGTTGTGAGTGCGTTTCTATGCTTTCGTACCGAACTTCGCCGACCGTGCTGTCTACAGCTTTCTAGTAAGTCCCTTTGGCGGATCATGCCACCGTACATTGAGCAGTGCAGCTTTGGTTACTTGATTGGCAACTACCCCATGGGCTGGCTCTTGCAACGTTACCACTCAGGGAGAGTGTTCTCGATAAGTTGGTCCACGACGCGCTTGAATACGACCTATAGCTCATCCCCGAGTAGCTACCTTCCTATGGGGAGTCATCATCATTGCGTATGCAGCATTCAGCGTTATGTAGCCTAATAAGCTGACTCGCGTGCATCACCAGGGTTGCCGGTGCAAAGAATTTCAGCAGCGCTCTTGCAGCATAGTAAGTTGCCTATGTTCGTGTATTGCTTGACCACTCACCGCCAGCCAGCTTCTTCTGGGCATTGTCGAGTCTATCGTCACCCCGGGCTTGACTCTACTGACAGCTGTATGGTACGCCCAGTCTGAAGTCCCGCTGCGCACCATGATCTGGTACAGCTTCAATGGCTGGGGTGGGATCTTCGGCGGGTTCATGTCATACGGCGTATATGCTCAATTGTTCTTTGACGAGGGTGGTGCTTAAGTCTGTGTATAGGTCGGTCGCATCAAGAACGCGTCGCTCGAGAAATGGCAGTAATCTACCTCATTCTCGGGGCGATCAGCCTGTCCTGTACGCCCTTAGAATGTGTTTTCAAAGACCATGCCTGACCCAAGTACTCAGATGCTCTTGTGCTAGCGCTCTTCTTCCCCGATTCTCCCGTCAGCGCGACTTTCTTGCGGAAGGACGAGAAGCTCAAGGCGGTGAAGCGCGTCGCAGAGGCGAAGAATGGCATCAAGAACACCGAGTTCAAGGTGTACCAGGTAAACTTGTCACATGCTCCTTCGTATCCTTGGCGGACATCGAATGACAACCTGGGTATCGAAAGGTCAAGCAAGCGTTGGCTGATCCCAAGACGTGGCTGCTCTTCGTTGCGTCCGTCGCCGCTCAGATTCCCAATGGGTGGGTGGCAGTGTAGCATTCGCGCGGAAAACTGTCGTCCTCATGCTTTGATCACAGCATCGTATCGAACTTCTCAACGATCATCATCAAGGTAGTCGCTACACACCGTCCTTGAACTGCACATGGTGCTGATGCAAACGGGTGGGTTTTTCAGGGAATGGGATTCACGACTCTTCAGACCACCCTGCTCGACGCTGCATCTTCCGGCGTGCAGATTGCAAGTCTGATCGCCGCTGGGTATGCTGTCTGACCTCTCATTACAATCTACCACCGACTGATACACCCGGCCAGCCTGATCACTACACACATCAAGAACAGTGAGTATCGCTACCTCCACCTCGAATCGGGGCTGACGGCGCGGTGTAGCGCGTGTGACCACTATGGCCACTGGAAACATTGTCTGCATCATCTCCGCGGCGTGTTTGACGTACCTGCCGTCTGACCAGAAGTGGAACCGTCTGGTTGCGTACTGGTTCACCTCTTTCCAGGCGCGTGTAGTCTCAACTATGTCGTGTCATCCAGCTTACGTACCGATCTCGCAGTCCGTCGGATTTTCGCTGTCGTTGGTCATGATCTCGAATAACGTGAGCATCGACCTGACCTACAAAGCTCGTATCCTACTCACGTTTGAGTAGATCGGAGGCTTCACCAAGCGAACGTTCACTACTGCGTTGACCTTTATCGGCGTACGTACAGAGCCGTGAAGAGCCGACCCGTGCTAACTGATGTGTTTAGTATTGTGTAGGCAACATCATCGGCCCTCACTTTCTCATCGTGAGCCCAAGCTTCAGTGTCCAATTGAGATACTATGGGTCTCAATGTTGCTTTAGTCCAGCGAGGCCCCTACGTACCAGACTGGCACACGTGCGATGTTCATTGGTAGGTCTCACGACTGGCCTTCCATAGTACTGTGACTGACTGTGACTTCAAGGATACTGCATCAAGACGGGTACGTAGCGCCAAACTGAGGAGGGTTCTCCCACTGAGAGCAACTGGGACAGCTGCCCACTTATTGCTGGGTCTGTACATGTGGAGGAGCAACGTGAAGGTATGTCTCAATCCAGTGCCCTTGCCGATCTTGCCGTCAACACTATCGTACAGAAAGATCACGCATACGGCAAGGTCATCTTGGAAGAAGACCAGCTCAAGGGCGAAGGTAAGAGCGCGCAGCTTGAGTACACATAAACGTCCTCATGATCATTCTCTGCCTCAGAGGCCGGCATGCATGACCTCACGGAATTCGAGAATACTTACCACAGGTAAGTGCACCTTGTCTCACTCTTCGGAACACCGTCTTAACATAAGTGGATCCATAGATACGTCCTGTGAGGACCTGCCAGTATCTCCGACGTTCTTACCTGGGGCCGCCGGGAATTCCGGCCGACACGTTTGACATTGATTGATGACCTGACTACGCCGCCTTGAACTTCACACCCAACGTGGATGCTATAGAGCATATATTGCCTGCGTAGACACTGGATGCCCTGTGATACAATGGACGAGAGTTGTGGATGGTAGATTGAAATGAGGGAGAGTCGAACCGCAATGTATTTAGCGCTGACTGAAGATAAGCAGCGGGCGGCAATCTAATCTCAGTAGATGAATTCCGTGCCTGGACATCTCTGCGGGCGACTCTGGGCGACATCACACTCTCGCGGATGCGTTCAAGTTGTTGAGCGCGTCGCTCGGGCCAGAGTCTGCGTCGTCCTCGACGTATTGCGGCCATCTCGAACGATGCCGCCGGCGAGGCGGCGAGTGTCCTACGTGATCCCCCCTCCCTCAGACCCTATTCCCCGGCTCCAGCTGCCCCCTCACGGCGTGTCACGCAACGGCGCCGTCGGCCCTCTGCTTGTCCCGTACAACGATCCATCTTCTCCTGGTCCCTCTTCAGCAGGTAGCAAGGGGATCTCACATCCACGACACCGTCTTGGAGTTGCTTCTTTAGCTCTCGACACTTCTACCTCTCTCGTCGGGCGCAACCATCCAGAGGGTATCTTGTATACTGGCGGACGAGATGGTCTTGTCATCTCCTGGGACCTTGGTATCCCCACCCAGCGTCGGACACACCGGTATGGCGTCGGCGAAGGCAGTTCTGGCCGGAGTATGCGACGTTGGGAAATCATGACCAACTGGGCAGACGACATCATCGAGGAAGAGGACGATGGCGAGGAACTGCCCAGTGACGGGGACGTTCTGGGCGAGGTTACCGGCCGCGCGCGGAGAAGGCCCAGCGTCATTCAGGATGCAATCCCAGAGGAGGAGCAGTGGGAGGCTAACGAGGAGGTCCTGGAGGCACAGAAGGTATTGCTCTGTTCTGCCTGACCCGGTCTCGCCTCGCTGCGGGCTATCCGTGTACGTGGCTGACTCTACACTCTGATATTGAAGGCCAATCCGCCAACTACTCAATTCGCCAATGTGCGCAGCTTCACTCGGACTGGGTCAATGACATCCTCCTGTGTAACATGAACCAGACCTGTACGTGTTACCCCCTTCAATTTCTGTGGACATTCTATCCACCAGCAGGGATAGATTGTCATCGCCAGTGTACCTCAGGGTTAACTGAATCATGGTCTAGTGGTTTCCGCATCCTCCGATGGCACTGTGCGTGCCTGGAATCCGCATGCAACCGACAACACCGAGCCCACGACAATAGGTATGCACGAAGACTATGTCCGATGTTTGGCACAGAGGTAAGCTGCAAAGTAACTCTGGGTATGAACGGCTATTGGAGTCTGCGTTCGATAGCCGTGTGCAACATTGGGTTGCGTCTGGCTCCTTCGACCGTACCATCAAGCTCTGGGACCTAGGCAGCGAGAGCTCTCCGACATCTCCTCTGGTTACTCTATCCGCTCCCGAGTCGTCTGGCCCGAAGGCGTCCATATATGCGATGACTACAGACTCCTACGGCTCCATAATCGCGTCGGGGTCCCCAGAACGCGTTATCCGGATGTGGGACCCGCGTTCGGGCAAACGTGTCGGAAAGTTGGTCGGGCATACAGATAACATACGAGCCATGCTGCTCTCAGAGGATGCGAAATATGTGAGCGCATTTGGGTCATCTCTTGGGCTGAGCAAATTGAAGGCATCTAGCTTCTCACAGGATCCGCAGACGGTAACGCTCTTACTATTCGGAAAGCCATCGGTTCCACTCACTTATATTGGCAGCTTCCGTCAAACTCTGGTCCTTGTCATCTCAGCGATGTCTGCATACATTCACACACCACACAGAGTCGGTTTGGTCCCTCTTCTCGCAACACCCGTCGCTGGAGATATTCTACTCTGGCGACCGCTCGGGCCTCGTCTGCAAAGTGGATGTCGAAGGCTGCACCGACGTGTCCGAAGGTGAATGTGTTGTCGTTTGTCAGGACACGAGCGACCGCACCTATGGCGGTAACGCGCCCGAGGGTGTGAACAGTATCGTGGCGATGGACGATAGCTTCCTCTGGACAGCATCCGGCAGTTCTAGCTTCCACCGCTGGAAGGTTCCACCACGGAGAGCAGTCAGGGCCGCTGCGCTCAGTTCCCAGGTCGAGACAGCGTGCTTGTCGAGAGCCCACCGGCGTCCAGCGAAGGTGACGACCATGTTCCGCGCTCCGCCGCCCAGATCTCTTTCGATTACTCCAGGGGTACACCGGGAACACCACCGCCGTCCGGGACGATGTATGCGCGCACAACCAAGAAGAGCCACCGAACATCCCTCTCGCCCTCCCTCTCACCTTCCCTCTCACCCTCTCTCCTGTCCGCAAACTCGGCTGCCCCACAGGAGCTCGACCCGTATGGCGAGCGCGAAGGTGAAGAGACGTGGTACGGGATCCCGTTCGAGAGCCTGGTGAAGCTCACGTCGCCGCACGACGCCTTCGCGGGCTTCAACACGCACGGGTCGTTCGCGCGGAACCACGACCCAGAGATCGCGACGCTCTACTCCGCGGCGTCGATCATGAGCATGCCCCGCCTCTCACGGCCGTTGCCCACCGCGCTGGCCAGTGCGATACATCAGCGCAGCAACAGCCCCTTCCTCAGCTCCCGCACACGCCTTGAGGACGCGCAAACACTACATCCGGGCACGCGTGCACACGCAGCTTTCGAGGAGCGTGAGGTGGCCGCGGACGCCGTTCCGTACAACCACGAGCCCAACGAGGTCGTCCAGGGCGAGCACGGGCTCGTGCGTTGCGCGATGCTGAATGACCGCTTGCACGTGCTGACGGTAGATACTGCGGGGGAGGTCGCGGTGTGGGACGTGATTCGTGGGGTGTGCAGGGGCCGTTTCATGAGCGAGGACGTCGCGGCGGCGAGCGTGGGTAGTAGTGCTGCGAGCGTGAGTGTGGATGGGGACTCGGCGAGAGAAAGGAGTCCGAGGGAGGCGCTGGAGACGGTGAGGGAGAGGATCGAGGGCGAGGCGGTCGTGCAGTCGTGGGCGACCACGGACACTAAGACGGGTGTGCTCACTGTGCATTTGAATGAGCGATGTTTCGAGGCGGAGATATATGCCGATGAAGCAGGGTACACTCCCGACAGACGATACGGAGAGGAGCAGAGGCGTATGTTCTTCTATCTCATTTGGGGCGACCTTGGCTGATGACGCTGTGTTGTTTAGTGAATGTTGGCAAATGGGTGTTGCGGAATCTCTTTGCTGGATTCATACGAGAAGAACAGCGAGCGCACTCGCGTCGAAGCCGTGAGGCTGAGAACGCCAGTCGACTACATCGTGGCACGGCACCGACTCATATCGATATCAATGGTGGCTCCCCAGAGAGGCGGCGTCGATCAATATCGGACGCCTCGCGAAAATCCCATGCGACAATACATAGTCCCAGAAGTACGAGTATCGTTTCCTCGCCGAACATGGTACCTGCCATGTCACCAGCAATCTCTGCGGCGCCGCGCACGCCGCTTCTGACCCCTCTGATCCCGATCAACACCAACCTGCGAGATTGCTCTACGCTATCGCCAATCCCCCAGTCGCCCTCCGATGCTACTCCCATGCCTATGCCCCCACGCTCACATACCCTCGACAGCTCGACTAACTCCCCTTCTAGCGCAGACTACTTCTCGCTACGCACCCGCCGCGGATCTCTGTCTACTGTAGGCACGACAACACCAGCGGACGAAGTCTCACCTTGGGGAAAGGATACGGCTTTGCAGACTCCGACTACTCCCAGTGCGGGAGGCTTGATGGGCCGTCTCAAGGCGTTTGGCAAAAGTACGAAGCGACAGGCCAGTGAAGTTGGAACATCAACCCCTGGGGGTACGCTCAAAGGAACAAACTCCGTGACCACGCACGGGGTAAGTTGGTTCCAACACGTTTCGTGATCGCACGATTGATATCATACTGTGTGCTAATAAATTCTAGGATGAAAATATCCAGGCTGCGCCCAAGTCTCCTGCGCAAGTATTGCTCTCGGGGCCCATCAACCCCCCTCCTACGAGTGATGCCCCGCCGCTCCCCATCTCACCGCAAACATCACTCATCATCTCAGAAGAAGCTGTGTCTGGATGGACGACTATCTACCGAGGACAAGTTGCCAGCGCTGCAAGTGATACTCGTACTCTGGAGGAAATCATGCCGTTCTGGCTACTCGAGTATTTACTCGCCAACAGGGCGCCATCAGTCCCCGTGACGAAGATCAGCTTTGTCCTCCTGCCTTTCCCTTCCAAAGATCCTCGCGAGATGTTGCCAGAGCTTCTCAATACGTGCGTACAGGTTTCTGTTTTTACAACTCACTTTGTTGAAGTCGCCTCATTAGAGCCCAATCGAAGCTGACGGCGAGCCGCTTCCTGCGTGTTCGGAAGCTCACGAACCATGTACGGAATGTCCGTTCATGAGTTGTGGTTAGTTCGACGGCTCATTCCGCTTGCACAGGTACAAGACAAGCTCGACAAAATGGCTGGCTCCCATGGTCCGACATCCCCTAGCACACCGCGTTCGTCCTTCGACACTCGTTCATCCGCTAGCAGGCACCGTGAAGAGCACCGGACCCGTGCGGAGGAATTGTACGAGATTGTCTGCAACGACGTCGTCCTGCCGCTGGACATGACCTTAGCTGCCGTGCGCCAGTTCGTGTGGCGACAGGCTGGCGAGCTCAGCATGTACTACCGACGGAAGGCCATCCATCCGGGCCATTCCCATCATTAAATTGGCTTATCGACTATATATTGTAGGTAATGTAATCTAGTCTTGTTGTAAATTGTAAGTAGAAGTCGACGCCCCATTTCCATCTGCCAGCGCACATTGTCCAGACGCAACGACAGTCTGGATGAGACTGTGGAAAGCCCTGTGACGTTGCTTATTCCTCCGACGGGTCGGTCTGTCGGTCTCAGCAGATGGCCCCGTGTTTCGCTGCTCTCCACCTTAGATACCGCACTAGTTCACGTCAAACTCAAACTTAGAGACCCCGCTTTCGTCTCGTCTGGAACGTAGAATGGCTAGCTGATAGGTTTGGATAACACAAGACTGGAGGGGCACTCAGATCAGAGCTCGTGCACTTCACGATATGGCCCGGAAGGTAGGCTGTAGCTATCTTATGCTTGAATGGTGCTGATGCACTTCCTGTCAGCTTTCAGCTCTTGAGAATCGACGATCTAAACCGATGTTTCCGCACTTTAAGCTTCAAGGCTTGCACGTTGCTTTGATGTTCCAAGCGGTCTCGACGGTGCTCATGACCAGGCTCGCCAGAGTATAAGTCTTTTGAAACCTTCGAACATCCATTGACTTCGATGACTTCAATATATCAGTACCCTGATGCTCCCTTCTCATGTCACACCGGTGCTTTCTCACTGATGCCAAATCTGCGCCCGCTGTCTACCTACCGCGGTACGGGGCGCAGGAATGCCGCGGTTCTGAACGCTCACAGCCCCGCTGGCGATGTCAACGCCGAAGAGACGTTGCATCATGATAGGTATCTACGGAGGTATGAGCGCTCGCAGTCACGTCAATGTTTTGTGTGGGCAGATTGATAGTGTCCATCACGAGCAGCAATCAAGAAGGTGCGCGAGAATCCTGATCTAGTTCAGTAGCGCCGTTAAGCTTCCGCGTGCCTCTGGCCCAGGGCGGTCTTCGCCTTGTCTTTACCCAATCTTCGCTCACCTGCAATCAGCGGAACTTTGTAGCCGCTGACTACGTAGAGTGCCAGTGTTTTGGACTTCGGAAATTGAATCCGCCACAGTCCGCCACTGCACAACCAGTTGAATCCCACCGACGTCGGCTCGCCGCTGCTAGTCGGATTCAAATACAGAAGTCCAGGCCAAGACTGATGAGTTGTCAATGCAGAAGATAAGGGTTCGTCGCCCGCGCTCTGGCGATCAACGTCGTCGAACACCCCGCTATGTCTACGGATGCTCAAGCCCAGGAAATTGCGTTCCTACAGGCGACGTGCGCACGACTCGTCTCATGCGGGACACTTGATGAACGTCTGACCTCTCAAGTTCCACAGATATCTCAACAACTACTGCCAGTTGTCGATAACAGGTAGTTCCTCAGCATTGTCGCCTTCGTCGTTCCAAGCTGAGACGTTATGCCCAGCACTCGTTGTATACGAACATATCATAACAATATCGCAAGAGACGCATTTGTTACATGGCCGCAAGTTTTCGGGGGGCGTGCTGCTGTTCCTACTCAATCGCTATACACTCCTCCTGTTCGGGGCGGAAAACCTGATCTACGTATTCTCCTGGGATACGCGTATGGTAAGGTTCATCGTGCATGCACTTTTAGTGACTGAGACTCACTGAGTCGATTGACGCATTGTAGGGGTGCGTTATCGTCCTTGCAGTGATGAACTCTACACGTTGACGCAACACCGACTGCATAGTTGCGAAGCCATGACTTTACTTTATGATATCTTACAAATGATGCTCTACATTTTGACAGCAGGTAAGCCCGCTTCGTCATCCCATTTACTCGGACGTCTGTCCGGTGACTGATTCCCGCATGCCAGGATTCACCGCGATGCGAGTCTATGCGATTGGTGGTCAAAGGGCTCTGATCGCCGTCATTGTGTTCATCTTCGGGCTCGCCCCTGCTATCGCAGGCATTGTGAGATATCATTTTTCTGGCATCCTCGTTGGGACGTTGCTGAACATTTGGTCAGTATAACATCTCTCAGTCAACCTACGACTACGTTGCGTGGGTCGGTCCTTACCCGAATGTTATTACAATAATAGCATATCGGACCGTGGTTGGGACCAGTGAGTGTTACTTGCCTGGCGACTACTCTCAACTCTAAGATCACGATATCTCCATAGAAGTATGTACCCCAACTCTGTCACCATTCACATTAGTTCTGATTCACCCCAGTGGTCATAATGTCCCGTGTCTTTCCTATGGTCTCCGACCTCATCGTGATTGTTGTCACTTGTGCGAGGGCATGGCCGATCCTCAGAGCTGCAAGACAAGCTAGAGCGACCCCGGCGCTGGTCACGCTACTACTCAAAGATGGTACGTCTAATTTCGTTGACATCCCGTCATCCGCGGATTGACCCGTCTATCAAGGGACCATGTATTTCCTGTTCGTGAGTGTGTTGTGTCGAAGATGTCTCCCTGAATCAGCGTCACAGGTTGCTCGCCTCGCTCAACGCCATACACATAGCGCTATCACTATCAGAAGGGGTAAGTGATCCTCCCTGGCTCCGTGCCCGTGCTCGTACTGACTTCTCCGCTACGTAGCCATTCTTAGGAGTCGTCTCAGAGTTCATCACGATGTACGATGCGCCATTCCTCCGTATACAGCGCCGCACACCTGCTCCCGCTGACACCCGCTCGTCAGGTTCCCCTCCATCCTCATCTCCCGCTTCCTGATGAACCTTCAGCACATCGGCTCCGCTGGGTACCGGGACACACTCCCGTCGTTCGTCCAGCGCGACGCAACGCCCGAAGCGCAATTGACTCCCGGCACCTCGCGGTTCGATATCACTGGGGATATGGGCGGATCGACGGACGACGGCGGGCTCTCTGCGCTGTTCTCGACGACGCTGATCGACGTTCCTGGATCCGACGCGTGGTCGAGCTGGGACGACGAGCCCTCGCCGGAGGTCGCAGGGGAGAGTCAGCGTGTTGACGAGGAAGATTCGCCGCCACCGAGAGATCCGGAGGTCATAGCTGTATCACGCTGACCGTTCGTTAGTCTCCGTTGCAGACTTTCAAAGCCTGGGTATTTGTCGGGATGTATCGGTGTTATTCATATTACTATGTGCTTCTTAAGCGGCGCTTTCTTCAAGCCCTGCGCATAGATCGGACAACTTTGAAGTATTGGGGAAGTTTGCCTTTCCGTCGAATGCAGCCTGGAGTGAGCAATATGAGCGACCGGGCTATCTCAATCCTTACCTTCTCAGCTCGGCGTTGTATTGTCTCTTTCCTCGCGGGCTTCTACGAGTCGTCGCTGATCGGTATCGAAAGTTCAAGAGGTCCACAGAGCGGAGGAAACCCGAGTCGGTGATACTTCCTGTAAAGCAATCATCAGCGTGACTCAAGAAACTCTGTGTGCGGCAATGAAAACCCCGCGTCGGTCATAGGTAGCAGAAATATTTTGCAGGCCTTTGAGAACTGATCCGAGTACCACAACTCCCCACGCGCAGGCGGCTGTCGAATACAGTAGCCCTTTGAGTTGCTGGCTGGCTATTTGCGCTGGTCAGAAGATTGATCATGATGGTTAGGCCGGGTGGATTCAATCTTGAACGTGTTAAGTTACGCACAACGCGTACAATTTATTTCCCCGACAAGCGACTCAAATATGAGTGCACTGGTGATTCGTCCTTGGCAAAACTGTGACTTGCAGCCCCCTATATATGCCCGCGCGCGAGAGCGACCGAGAACGAACATCGACGGAACGTGCAGGTTCGCAGAAGTTTTCGAGTGGAAGACGTGAAGCTTGAAGACGAGCGAACATTATGGGCATGACAGAAACGGCAAGTGTATTACCATATCAGGAAAGTATATCACGTCAAGATCGCCCAGATCTGAGATGACAACGTCCCTTTATTCCCGCCAGTTTGCTCAGATGGGCGATCGCGGTCTCTACCATGACTCGGAGTCTGAGTCGGCGGTCGCACTTCCCAAGTTCAGACAGCCTGCATGAGAGGAACTTATGGCCACGTTCCGCACGACCTGAATGAAGCCTAAGGTCGCTTCCAACTTGAAGTTCTCATCACTCACAAATTGCTCACAAATCAGATCCTTCCCTTTCGTTTGAAACATACAGTGGCTAACAGTGGATAGGTTTAGATAACAGGATTGCAGGCGGACTCATCAGATCTCAGAGCTCGGCGTGCACGTCACGATATGGCCCGGAAGGTAGTTCGGGTGAGCATCGCTGTAGCTTATGTTTGAACTAGTGCTGATGCACTTCCTGTCATCTTTCAGCTTCCAAAGACTGACGGTCTAAACTGATGTTTCCGTACTTTGGGGCTTGCACGTTGCTTAGATGGAGATGGGGTTCCAAGCGGTCTCGACGGTGACGAACGTCATGACGAGGCGCGTCAGAGTCTTTTGTGACCTTTGCACATCGATTGACTTCAATAACTTAGTGCATATCTCTTTGGAAGACGCTCTCTTGCATAGCAGCCAGTGGCTGGCCGCTGGGCGCCCGTACCAATGGGTATGAACGTCATTTGATGATTGAAAACTCAACATGTCAGTACCTTGTTGCATCCTCTTCGTATCACATTACTTCCTCACTGGTGTCAACTCCAGATTTGCGCTAGCCGTCTACCTACCGCAGTACTGAGCGCATTCTCCTGTCACGGTGCAACACTCACAGCCCCACTGCCAGTGCGATGTCAACGCCGAAGAGACGTTCATAGGTATCTATGGAGGTATGAGCGCTCGCATTCACGTCAACGTCTTGTGGTGGCAGATTGATAGTGTCGCATCATGAGCAGCAATCAAGAAGGTATGCGAGAATTCTGATCTAGTTCAGTGACGCTTCGGACAAGGTACCGTGTGGCTGAGTGCTAGTGGCGATGGCTCAGGGGACTCTTAGTCTCCCTGGGCAGACTCTAGACAACTCTGTTACCCTCCGCGCACTCCGGAAATTCTTGTCTGACGGGAGTCTTCGCTTCCGTGCAACCAGCGGAGTGTTGTAGCCGCTGGCTGGAGTGTTTTGAAGTCAATTTCCGGATTTGAACACGCCGCTGCACCGCCTATTGAATTCCGCCAAAGTCACGGTTGGCTCCCCGCTGCCAGTCGGTGTCAAATTCCAAAATCCAGGCCAAAGCACTCCAATGTTAGTGTAGAAGATAAGACCTCGCCGCTAGTTCGTTTCGCCCTCAATTGATCAACGTCGAACTCCCCCGCCATGTCTACGGATACTCAAGCTCAGGAAATTGCGTTCCTACAGGCGACGTGCGCACGATTCGTCTGTTCAAGTTGCGGGACACTCGATGAACGTCTGACCTTTCCACAGATATCTTAATAACTACTGCCAATTGTCGATAACAGGTATTGTCTCATCGTTGTCGCCTTCGTCGCTCAAAACCACGCTGAGATATTATGCATAGCACTCATTGTATACGAACATATTATGACAATATCACAAGAGACACAACTGTTACTTGCCCGCAAATTTTCGGGGGGCGTACTGCTGTTCCTGCTCAATCGCTATACACTCCTCTTGTTCGGGGCGGAAAACCTGATCTACGTATTCTCTTGGGATACGAGTATGGTAAGCTCAATCGTGCATGCATTTCTACAGAGTCACCTGATGCATTGCAGGGGTGCGTGATCGTCCTTGTAGTGATGCGCTCTACAGATTAACGCAGCACCGACTACATAGCTGCGAAGCCATGACTGTACTTTATGATGTCCTACAACTGATGCTCTACATTTTGACAGCAGGTAAGCCCGCTTCGTCACACTATTGATGTTCGTCCCTTGACTGATTCCCACATGCTAGCATTCGCCGCAATGCGAGTCTACGCAATTGGCGGTCAAAAGGCTCTGATCGCCGTCGTTGTTTTCATCTTCGGGCTCGCTCCTGCTATCACAGGCATTGTGAGATATCAATATTCTGACAACCTCGTTGGGACGTTGCTGAATGTTTGGACAGTACAACATGTCTCAGTCGACCCACGACTACGTTACGTGGGTGGGCCCTTATCCCGAGTGTGATTACAACAACAGCATATCCGACCGTGGTTGGAACCAGTGAGTGTTACTTGCCTGGCGACTAATCTCATCTAAGACCACCTTATCTCCGTAGAAGTATGTACCTCAAGTCTGTCACTATTTGCGTTGGTTTTGATTCAACCCAGTGATAATAATGTCTCGTGTCTTCCCAATGGTCGCCGACCTCATCGTAATTGTCGTCACTTGCATGAAAACATGGCCAATCCTCAGATCTGCAAGAAAAGCCAGAACGACCGCAGCGCTGGTCATGCTACTTCTTAAGGATGGTACGTCTGCTTTCTTTGGCATCCAGTCATTCGCGAATTAACACGTCTATCAAGGGACCGTGTATTTCTTGTTCGTGATTGTGTTGTGTCGAAGATGTCTTCCTGAATCAGCACCACAGGTTGCTCGCCTCGCTGAACGCCATACACATGGCGCTATCACTATCAGAAGGGGTAAGCGATCCTTCCCGGTTCCGTTCCCGCGCTCTTACTGACCTCTTCGCTACGTAGCCTTTTCTGGGAGTCATCTCAGAGTTCATCACGATGTACGATGCCCCATTTCCCGTTGTACAGCACCGCACACGCACTTCCGCTGACACCCATTTGATAGGTTCCCCTCCATCCTCATCTCCCGCTTCCTGATGAACCTTCAGCACATCGGCTCCGCGGTTACCGGGACACACTCCCATCGTTCGTCCAGCGCGACGCGCCCGAAGCACATTCGACTCTTGGCACCTTGCGGTTCAATAGGGTCACCGGGATATGGGCGGATCGACGGACGACGGCGGGCTTCCGCGCTGTTCTCGCGACGCTGATAGACGTTCGTGAGCCCGAGGCGTGGTCGAGCTGGGACGACAAGCCCTCGCTGGAGGACACACAGGAGAGTCGCGTGTCGACGAGCCTGAAGACTCGCCGCCACCGAAAGATCCGGAGGTTGTCTCTGACTCAAGCGGGCCTAACGGCACATTCTATTCGACTCAACTACTAGTACTACTTTACTTACTTTCTATACCTGCCTGGAGCTCGGCGGATGGCGAGCTACGCGACAATGGCCAGGAGGAGACTCGACGCTCCGCCTCAGGCCTCAGTGATAATATTAAAGGGACTAGCAACTTTGGCGCTGCCTAGAAAGCCCCAGTGGACCTATCTAGATATCAATAACGCCTATGCATTCCGACGAACAGCCAGGCTCGCGGCCGTTGAACGTTTATGGTCTGCAACGTAGACTAACAACTAGTCAGCTCTGTGCGTCGTCTGCCGCCCTGCGTCACTCCGCCTTCCCCTTGCCATCCCTCGCAGCCTCGTTCGACTCCAAGTCTCCATATGCGGCCGCGAAGCGGCCAGTGTCGTGGATGTACCTGAATAGCGGTTTCATGGTACTCGGCGAGTTCAGGAAATCGAACAAGCGGCGCTTTCCTCAGGCTCTGTGTATAGGCTGCCAGCGAACGTCAATCAGCCTACAGGTCATGATCAGATGTTAGGCAGCCGCAGTGTGCAATGTACGGGCGACTAGGCTATCTCAATACTTACCTTTTCACCTCGGAAAATCGTCTCCTTCCTTACGGGCTTCTCGTCGCTGGTCGGTGTCGAAACTTCAAGGCATTTGCAGAGTGGAGGAAACTCGAGTCGGCAATGATCGGGCGACGACAAGCGCAAAAGCGATACAATTCTTCAGGCAGCAAACATGACACGCAGACAGAACACTCCAGGTCAATCCAGTGACCAGTGAACGAAAGAAGCCACTCAGCGCACATAGACAGAATGGCAGGCATGCTACCGAACAAGATACACATCGCAGAGATGGTAATGAACACCCTCCCGGGTGACGGACGTCCCTTGACTCTCCCTCCGGCGGAAGCAGGCGATCTGTGTCTCGGCGCGAGGGCGACGTCTGCGAGCGAGCGCTATTTACGTTCGCGACCTGGGCCCCCGACAGGTGCGGCTCTCGAGCTCAACAGCGCCTCTCTCGCCCTACGGATGATCGCTGCCGCCACCTTCAGGTTCGTCGCAGGCACGCCGGTAGAGTCGGATGTACAGCGAGGCAAGATTTAGATGGGATTGAGACGTTAAAGCAGCACGAAACTTGAAAGAGTGATAGAATGGATAGAAGAGTGGAAATGGAGGCAGTGCGACGTCGTTGTGCCAGTTGGGCGGATGTTTTGAGTTGCTTGATATACCCTTCATCATTGGCGATCTAATGACCAGAGACGAATTAACGTCTGCCGACGAAACATGTCATACATCACCGCTCACCAGAGACTTCTGGCAGTAGCCCGACCGAGTTACGCGACACGCTCTCCGGCGAGTCGCGAGTTGTGCTGTTCAATTTGCTGCTGAAGTATCGCGGCGATCCCGCCAGGGTTGCTGCGCCCATTTGGCAGCTCCGTACCATCTGCAAAGGTCAGTCTTCCCTGCGGACTGTATACCAATGTACCATCCGCCAACCACTTCGTCGTATGGTGGCAGTATCCCATTCCCAGCCTGTGGTCAAGGTCCTTACCCTCCTCCTTCCCGCACATGTAGCACGACCGCGCGTACTGTCCCAATTGCTCTACGCGCGTCGTAGCACTCATTGCCGAGCCGGCCGTCGTTTGTTGGGGCGCCGATGTTGTGCCTTGCGGTAAGAGCAGTGTGACTTTCTCGAGGAAGTCCGTGAAATTGGTCATCGCTTTCAATAGCACATCGGTCTGTGCTCTGTCCCCGCCACCGCTGTCGGATTCCGAGTCGTCGTCCGAGTCAGAGAAATAGTCGACGTTATCCACACTAAGATGCTGTCGCACCGCGTCAGCGACTTGATCGAATCCTGCTGGGTCGCAGCACGTCAAAGCCTTGCCCTTCTCTCTGACGAGTCAGGCTTGATCGCCTGTCTGATCGCGGTCGTCAGCCCTTGGTAGAAGAGTAGGTCGTGCTCAGCTTCGGTCATCCTGTTCTGCTCTACCAAGTCACCAGCCCGAACCACGAACCCCAGCATATACTTCCTGAAGTCTTCCAGGTCGCGTATCTTGCGCTGCTTCCGATACTCCTCAACGTACTCGCGCAGCTTCCTGGCAGAGCTTCGGGTCCTAAAGTCGCTCTCGGGTAGTAGAAGGTGAGCCTCTCCTTTGCTTTCGCCCAGTCGCTGCCCTTGAAGGCCTTATCGCATCGCAACACGTCACGCACCTTCTTAGAGCAGTACAGTAGCACGCCCTTGCACTTCTGCTCTCCCGTCATGGCTGCGGCGTCGGCGAGGATCTCGAACATGAAGAGGAAGTCGTCCAAGCGCTTGCCGGTGAACTCTGGGGCATCCTCCGACGACGGTGGTGGGATGAACTGCCTCGAAACATGCTGGAGGGGTGTGGCAGGTGGATTCAATTGTCGTGCGACCTTGCAGTGTCTCTCAATCAAGAGCCGTCCTGTAACGCGATGATCAGTGTGACTTAAGAACCTCGGTGTGCGGCAATGAGACCTCTGCGTCGGTCACCAGTCGTAGGAGAAAGGTCGTGCAAGCTTATGAGAGGTCCGAGTACCACAGCTCTTCCCGCGCAGGAGACTGTGACCACGTTGAGCCCTTGGAGTTTGAATTGCTGGCTGGCTGTATGCGCTGGCCCAGAAGATCAATGGTTAGGTCGGCTGGATCCAATTTTGAACATGTTGAATCACCCGCAATGCGTACAATTCGTTCCCCGACAAGCGACTCAAATATGATTGCACTGGCGAGTCGGTTGTTGCTCGTCCGTGTCAAAACTTGAGGCGCGCTGAGAGAGGGGGAGGAGAGAGCCAATCTGACACGGGGACAGGCAGCGCAGCCCCCTATATATACTCGCGCGAGAGCGACCAAAAACGAACATCGGCAGATTCGCAGAAGTTTCGGAGCGGAAGACGTGAAGACGAGCGAACGTCACGGGTATGACAGAAGCGGCAAGTGTATTACCATATCAGGAAAGTATTGCGCGCCAAGCCCGTCCAGACCTGAGATGACAATGTCCCTTTATCCCGTGGGACTGCTCACTGGCAGATGGACGACCGCGGTCTCGGCCCGGACGAGCTAATGAACCCTAATGCGGTTTGAATCCACAGCTCTCTGTGATGACGCAACCCGGCCCCATATGTGACGACCTCCTCCGAGTCCCTGTCAACCAGCCTGCATAAGAGGAGCTTACGGCGGTCGACTTGAAGTCAGCCAAAAGCACTCACAGCTGGCCACTTTGATATAATGCGCTTCGTTGCCGTGACGCGTCCGGTGAATACCCCGGATGATCCCCTTCGACTCACAAAGGAGCAAGTGTACGAGGGCTTGAAAGTCAAGGCGCGCGACCCAATGTCTGTATGCCGGGCAAGTACAGCTGTGACCCCATGCACGAAGGGCTGACGGTTGCTTAGCCGTTTCGTGACTGTCATCGACCGATGTGATGTCCTCAACGAGCATGCGACAGGTCTTCTGCGCGAGGTCCAATTCAAGAATAAACCAGAGCCTGTGCGCGAGAAGATTGAATACTTCCCTCCAGAACAGGTGTTTCTGCTCCCTGCCTCGTCTTCTCTGCACCACGCTGAAGTCAAGCATGCGCCAGGTGACGTTCACGATGATCCATCCCAAGACAGGCGAACAGCTCGCGCACATCACCAATCTCATCAGTACTCTGCCCGACGGCGACCTCCTCCTGACCTTCGCCTTCGCGTGGGGCTCGAATGGTCCGCTCGACGAAGGACCTGCGGCGGAGAAGGAGGAGAGGGAGAGGGAGAAGCTTGGCCTCGATACCATCGAGCGTACGCTCGCGGTCATCAGAGATCTCGTCAGGAGTAAGCAAATTTAGTACGGTATCCTTGGAGAACACGCTCGTCATCCCGTCATGTACGTTGTTCTGCACATCATTTGCAGTCACGGACAAGGGCGGCATACTGTCGCGGCGCAAAGCTCGCGACGGCCTCAGCCGATCCCTCAGTCTCTCCCTGTCGGACATAACACTAGGTTCCCCGACATCGGGAAACATCAAGGCGCAGAAGTGTATTACAGCAGATGGTCATAATTAATGGGGCTGCGGATGTTGGTAACAGGACACAGCCCTCGTGCCGTTCGCAGGTACTGCTGACGCGTCGTCGTGGTTGACAATTGATTTCCCCGCATGATGCGCCAGACCAAGAAAAGCGGCTGCCGACACTGAACTTGTACGCACATAAGTCCACTCAGCGCAGACGCCTCAAGCACAAGCCCATCCGCAGACACCCAACTTTCAGCCTACCATCGGAAGTAAGTCCGCTCGCCCAGTAGCCTCCAGATGACCATCACCGTCGACCATGGAAAGATGTCCTTCTCAGGATACACATTACCAGTCAACCCGCCCGATGCGCCTCTGCGCCTCACCACCGAGCAGCTCTTCGCAGGGCTCAAGACGAAGGCCCGCGACCCCCTGTGCGTACCCCGAGCCACCGCATACACGCGCTCACAGTGTCCCCAGGGCGTTCGTGCCCATGATCACCAGCTGCGCAGTGCTGGAGGAGCACCCCGACGGCCTCCTGCGCGAGGTCGTCCTCAAGGGCAAGCCCGGCCCTGTCCACGAGCGCGTCGAGTACTTCCCGAGCGGCAACGTACGTCTCCGCGCCGTCTCCCCCCCTCCAAACCCACTATGTATGGCAACGGCAGTGGTCGACTGACGTGCACCGCAGGTCGTCTTCACGATGCTGGACCCGGCGACGGGCGACAAGCTCGGGGTTATCACGAACACGATCACGGAGACGCCTGAGGGCGAGCTGATGCTCACCTTCACCTTCACGTTTGGGCAGGGCGGGCCGTGGGGGAGTGGCCCGGCCTCGGATGAGCAGCGGAAAGAGAGGGACAAACTCGTGGTCGACACGATGCGCCGTACGTTGGAGGTCACCCGGCAGTACGTGCAGGAGAAGAAGATCTGAACAGAATATCAACGCACCTGCGAGATGGATATGTTGTTGCGCGGTCCTATCCCATCTGAACGATCAGCTTGTCGGTAAGCTGCGTAAAACCCTTATGATATTTGCGAGCAGCAGCTAGAGGGTCGCGATTGGAAGGGGTCAAAGCCTGTGGACATGTTATAGAAAGGCTACACAGTTCCTAGCATGATCTAACTCATCAGTGATGCACCGTCGGACACACCAAACTCACGCACATAAAACACTCAAGAGACCATGAACGTAGCAGACAGATTGCTCTCATCATCGATATCCATGCCGCCCGCGAGGACGGCTTTCCTCTCCGCGACCATCACCCTCGTCGCCGTCCTCCGCGCCTTCTTCGCCTCCTTCTTCAACACCCGCCTGCTCAGCGGGTTCGCGCTCGCCATCGACCGCCGGGCATGCTCCGCCACCGGTGCATCATACGACGGGACGTCATGCGACTTCCTCAGCCGCTTCGGCTGGCGATCGCCCGCCGCGTACGGCTGCGTGGCGGTCGAGACGGGCGACGGCGACGAGAGCGTTTCCGGGGGATTGCAGGCGCGAGGTCGTCCGACTCCATCTCCTTCCCGTCCTCGTCCATCTCGTCGACGACCTCCTCCTCCGGCTCGAGCTCCATCGCGTCCGGCCCCGGGTCGCCGCCGAATGCGCCCGCGTCCGCCGCGCCGAAGAGTCCGGCGAGCGCGAACGGCTGTGCGAAGGAGGTGACGATCTGCGCCTGTCCGACGCTCTCTGCACCCGGGGCGACGGTGCGTTCGCCGCCTTCCACGACTGTTGAGGGGATGAGCGAGGGGTGGACGTCGGGCGGGACCGAGTAGTAGGGGATCTTTTGGTGGTTCCAGTCGTTGAGGACTATGCGCGCGGCGGAGAGGATGTCGGGCGTCCCGCCTTTGAGCAGGCGGCCTGTTGTAAGTGCGAGCATGGTGAGGAATTGTAGTGTGGGGGCGATCTCGGGGAGGTTGTATATCTTCTTGAGCATTTCTGTGTCAGTCCGACTCAATATCTCCTCCACTGAGAGGGATATGCTGTTAGATTTCCACTCCACGATACAGAGATAGTATGTCTTACCGAGAGCGATCGGGTCGTCGATGTCTTCCACCTTGACGACGTTTCGGAGCAAGATGTTACTCCTCGACTTGCCCTTACCGTCGTCGAAATCATCCTCGTCGAACACGACACCGGGCGAGTCGATAACTTTCAGGCCTCGCTCAAGCTGGATGGTCTGCAGCTCCTTTGTGTGACCAGGCTGTGCAGCGACCGCGCAGACCTTCGCTCGCTTCAAAGTGTTGATCAAGCTACTCTTGCCGACATTCGGGTAGCCTACGACGCCGACGGTGACAGTCTGAGCGGAGCTAGGCTTGTACGCCTTGAGCAAGCGCACGAGAGCAGGGGCGGTGGGTGAGGAGAGCCGTGAACGCTGGTTATTTGACGCGGATTTGAAGGGAAGGGTGGGTGTTGAGTGGCGGAGGTAGCGCAGCCAAGCCTGCGCGTTGTCGCGCGGAACAAGATCTAAGGTGGTGTGTTACAACAAGCAGGGTATCAAGGAAGGAGGCGCCTCACCGATCTTGTTCAATACAAAGACCAACCGTTTGCCTTCGCTTTCTCGCCGACGCACTTCCTCCTCTACCAACCGACTCCTGCATCCCTCCGGGTCGCGCGCGTCGAGTACCATGACGATGATGTCAGCCTCGTCGATGACTTTGTGCAGTGCTCGAATATAATGCTTGCGAATTTGCTCCTTTGTCTTCGTCGCGCCACTCGTAGAGGAGGACGGGTCGCTGAACGCCTGGTCGTTCGATGGGGTGGCAGCTTCCGCCATAGCCGCGAGGGAAGAAAGAGTTGGCTCCGTCGCCATTTCTGCATCTCCGTCCGTTCTGCGGAGAGGAATGGGATGCTGCAGGATTGTGTCAATTAACGGGCTGGTGGATGAATGGACCTTGCTCACAGGGTGTGCCTTTTCCTTCTCTGCATTGCGAAGCCTTATACTTGGGAGACGAGGTATCCCGGGGTCCTTCTTCAGTTCTGTTCACAGATGTTGTCAGTGATGAAATGCGGAAAGGGTAATATTTTTACTGACTGCTTTTGAGCGGGATGTCGGGCTTGCGATTCTCTGAGCGACTTTGAGCGGTAACAACGGAATACTCAGAGATCACGAACTGTTTCTGCCCATCTTTGGCAATATAGTGCCACTTTTTTATGTCAATAGCACGATCAGAAAACCCTGAGGAGAGAAGGGAGGATGCAAGGAAGATGTGAGTTAAACAACAAATTGAGCTCAAGCGATCTTTGCTTACGGCACGAGGCGTATACATTCCTATTATGGAAATATCCTAGGCCTCATCGACATCGCCCGGGCCATCGGCCATCCCAACTTGATCCCAACAATCACTTGTACCTGTAGCTCCGGAGAGCTGACGCGCTGCTTTCTGCGACTCTCTCGTTTCGAACCGCTCAAGTTTGGACGTCGAAAAAACCTGCAACTGTCTAAGTGCAACATTGAATTCAGGTCGCCTGAACTTGAACTCTGCCAGTGTACGTTGCGATATCCCATCAACTTAGTCTCCCCAAGGAGAGGTAGAAAATCATTCAAACCTTCAAACCTTCATGCCTCAGGATATCCTTGTCTGACCATCAACTACGTGTACGTTGCTCGATCTGTGCTCGATCCTCGACAAGATCACCACACCTGACACGAGAGCAACAATCTGAAATACAGACGGACCACGCACTGGTCAAACTCGTCGCACTCTTTCGCGTACGAGTCCAAGTCGTTGTGCTGGACATGCAGCACATTCTCAGTGCTGTATCCAGCTCAATATCAGGCCTCCCCTTCGTCGGCGCTCCTAAGGATGTTATGACCTCCGCACAATGTCTAGCACAGCAGCTCATGAACTACGATCTCTGGTACAGAGTCACGACCTATCTCTCTGTGGAAGATGCACGCACTCTGTCGATGGTATGCCGCGAGTGTCACGCAGCCGCAATCAGACGATCCATGTCGTTTGTCAAGCCCACTAACAAGGATCAGCTACGTGCAATGTGTTCATCTATGACCATCGGAAAATACTACCGGGCATCTCTCCTGTCCGAACTGCGGATAGAACGCAAGGCGTTTGGGGCTCTGTCATTCTCTACGGTGTGGGTGCCGTATCATTTCGACAAATCCTCACCCATCCCGGGCGATCTCGCGGCCCTCCTCGGGCAGACGGTGAATCTGCGAGTGTTGTCGCTCCAATGCGTAGAAGACCTCATCGAGGCCAACGCCAGCGTTGGAGACGCACTCGTAGGCTTAGAACGGCTCGACACCCTGGAGCTCATGGACATTGGCGAGAAGACGTTCGCCGTCGCGATGCGCATACCCAGCCGACCGACGAAGCTCACCCTCTCCTACGAGACGCACGATTCTACTCGGAGCGACCTGCGCCATCTCAGCCAGCTCCCCCTTCTAGAACGTGCGCGCGTACTCGATCTGCGCCAGTTCCGACTCGCCGATGCCCCTGTGAATGCTAACCTCGACGGCGCCAGCCTCATCCACCCGTGGCCCGCCACCGAGGAACTGTGTCTCACGTTCTGCGCGTACCTCCCCTTCCGTCAGCTGTTCCCGAACCTCCGCACCCTCTCGATGTGGAGGATATGCGAGATGACCCACGCCGATATGTCCTTCGTGCAATGGCCGTCATCAGTGCCCTTGAAGCACGTTACCGGGGACCAACAGAACGTGATGTGCGTTTGGGGCACACCGGTGCGGTGGCTGGACTTGAAGACGTACTTCCCCGACAGCATCTCTCTGCTCCGCTCAATACGCGAGACTGTGCCTGTTGTGTTGTCTATGTTGTGTCCTCAAGATGACATGCACGATGCCGAGTTCTGGGAGAGCCTGGTCGCAGCGGTGACGACGCCGCAGGCGCGACTTCGGTATCTGATGCTGACCATCAAGTTCGACCAGTCAGAAGGTCTCCGCTGGCTGGTGAGTCTTCAGCACGAGCCGCTGACACTGACGATAGCTGATTTTTCTTACGTCGGCAGCAGAAGATGGTACCGCTCCTCTCAACGACACGTCTGCTCAGCATCAGGCTGATTGTCATCGACCTCGACTACACGCCCCCAGTAGACAACGGACGCGAAGACGTATGGCACGGCGACCCCGACCGCGTCCCCTCCCACTGGCAGACGTTCTTCCGCCAGGTGCATGGCAGCCTCGCACGCGCGATACCCTCGCTCCGCCTCATCTCGGTGCTGTTTGTCGGTCGGATGAACGTGACCCTCCAGGCACAGTACGACGATGACTATGATGGGGAGTTCTCGTGGTGGCGGGTGGTCGATGGCGACGGTGGCGAGCGCGAATGCGCTTCGGTGCAACCGGATGTCGGCGAGAAGATCCATCGGCACCTTCTGTCTGATGAGTTCGAGCGGAGGTTAGACTTCGATGGTATGTCTCATTGTCTGTTTGAACGGGACGGTGCATGGGGGAAGCTGACTATTGCTTAGATCAAATGCTCCTGGAGGGGAAAGATACCTCATAGTTCTCGCAGAGGAGATTCAGCCTACACAAGCTAACTGCTGTTGTGCTAACGACATGTACACTAGGTCCTAAGCAATGATACAATGCTCTACGATTGAGCCCCGAACGGACGTTGTATATCGACGCGTTTATGCAACAGCGTCCAGTTACAGTGATCGAACTTAGAACGACGCATCGTTTGTCTTCGGAACTGACATACGATCCTGCAGTTACCAATGAGATTTCGGGGCGTGCTATTGCATACGGGTGCACTCAAACTCTCCCAAACCTGCGTTAAACTTGACGCGCATTGCTCTCACGATCTCCAGTCCGTCTCCATTGATATCTCAGTGCAATGCGTCTCGCAGCCGTTACTCTTTCCGTCAACAACCCAGACGAGCCCGTCAGGCTGACCAAAGAGCAGCTTTTTCGAGGTCTGCTCGCGAAGGCCCGTGATCCAACGTATGTCAAAGGCCTTCTGTGGCAACTTACCGCGATCACAGATTCAGTCTAATTGACAACATCGCTTTGAATACTTACCTAGGCAATCCATCCACGTAATCGTAAGATGCGATATCCTGGATACGTTTCCGACAGGTCTGCGATGCGAAGTTGAGCTCGCAGACCGGCCAGGGGCAGTGCACGAGATGTTCGAGTTCTTTCCACCATCAAAGGTGCTGTAACAGTGCAGACAGACCACTGCGCTCACGAGTCTGACGGTTTGCCATTAGGTCGTCTCGACCATGACATCGCCCTCGACAGCAGAACGCCTTGCGCAGATCACCAACGTGATCAGTGCTACGCAGGAGGGCGAGATGCTCCTTATATTCACGTTCGCGTGGGGGGGAAATGGTGAGCTCGATGTTGGCGAGGAGGCTGGGCCCTTAGACTGGAACGGCAGAGTGAGGCTTTTGGATTTGAGAGCGTGCGTGGGACACTGGATGAGGTCCGCCGAATGGTAGAGGCGGGAGAGCTCTGACGCCATAAGACCCCTCGAATGTTGAATCATCGAGCCCTAGCCTCGTAGCGTGATGCTTTCAGACATATGTATCAGGTTGTAAGGCTGTGGCGAACGTCTCCTCGAAATCGAGAATCGTGGTAAACATTATCGTTACAAACGGTATCGACAATTCGTGAGCATGAGAACACCGCGGGAATGCTTTCCGTGTTACATGCAGTCCATATATACACTGGAGATACACACAAGTCCATAACTCAAACAGGTAGACGCGAGAGGTGAGATGCGCCACACTACAGGATGAGGTCAGTCGATGCCAACGAAGGCAGATGAAGACGGGACAAACTCACTATTATCACCGACCATACGGGTCCCTGATCAAGTACCATTCGTACTTGTCCCTATCAATGTACCACTTCGGCGGTGCAGTGATCCCCACGGCCTCTCCGAGCTTCCGAATATCCTCAGGCGAGGGGAGGTCTTTGCGGTGAAGATGGTAGTTCGTGTAAACTGATATGATCCGCAGCTCGTCTTCGTCGTGCTGCAGTGTGGAGTGCAGTGCCATGGTCGCTACCTGCAAACCGTCCTTCGATAGCTGAGTAGAGACATGTTTCAAGGCGGCTACCATCGACGCGGGTTCGTCGATGTTCATCCCGCGCGGGTTCGGGAAGAGCGGCGGCAACGGCCTGCATGTCCTCTCAACAACAACTGTGCCACTCCCATCTGACTCGTCACCTCCCTTGCTGGAAGAGTCATCATCGCCACTTCCGGTGTCCTCCGTGCCATCGTCAGTGGATGAGTCACTAGCGTCATCGTCGCTGCTCTCCCCATCCGACTCGTCAGCAAGCGGTCGTCTGCGCCTGCCCATCATCAGGATCAAGCCGTGTTCCTTTGCGTAGGCCAGAAGGGTCTCCCGAGGAGCGGACCATCCATAGTGCATGGTTGGCGGCCTGTAGATTGCAGAAGGGATGGGGATGAACATGCGAGGGAGTAGGGCAAACGGTTCGACATGGCACGCGTCCCGTAGTTCCTGAAACATCGTCAGCATGATACTGCGAGCTGAGACTGCGAAATCGCATACCTCTCTTGTCGCGCTTTCCGCCTGAGGCTTGAAGGGAGGAGGGAGGTTGAGTCGCGGTCCCTTCGGAGGAGCGATTGTCGAACGAGCGGCCGGGACGACCGGAAGTGGGATTGCAGTCATCTTCGCCGATGCAGACATGGTTTTGGCAAAGGATAAAGAGGAACCGTCGTCGGTGGCTGTCGAGTCGGTGGTCCCCGACTCCGACCGGAGGGAGAGAGGAGGGCTTTGTCGACCATAAGTCGTTCGCAGCCGGCGATGCCGCTCCCTCCGTGGGAAACACGTGACTCATAATTTCCATAAGCGGTATCGCAGCAATCACCGGGCGAGAGTCGGAATCTTTCGTCCCGAAAGATTGGAAAAAGAGTTCGAATCTTTTTACCCATATTTGGTATGAATGATTAGTAATATGATTGCAAACATTATGTTCGATCATTGTGTGCACAATATTGGAGACAGATTCCTAAAAAGATTGTAGACATTGTTTTGAATCATTCTGTGTGCAGTATTGAAGACAGATTGGTGTAAAGATTGGAAATGAGTTTTGGTCATAACATCTCTGATCTTTCAATGTAGAAGCTTGCAGAAAGTTCTCAGATGCAGAATGAATATTTTGGGCCAAATTGATTGTGAACAGACATCAAAAGGATTGCAGAGTGATAAGTTACAAACTTGTTTCTCCATAATCACATCATGTAATATTGACAAATGATTGTGACAGGCTTCACAATCCTCCATGTCTAATGTATTCCAAAGGTCTTTCAAAGGAAGTTTTGAGTTCTGTGAATACTGTCTTTTAGGTATGAAAGATTGGAAAGTATGATTGCAATCCTATCACAGCACATGTGTGCAGAAAGATGGTGATAGGATTAGAATGCAATTTTGAAGCTTGTGTCTCTGATTGAAGTGTAACATTGTTCATGATCTCTCCACAAACTCTTCTCCTGAAATATTGGGAACATTGTACTCAAGATTTGGGCATGAAGTATTGGAAATAGATAGCAGTGGCACACCTAGCTGCAGTGTACCCTCTCAATTCCAACAGCTCACATGAAGAGATACATGAAGTATTGTGACCATGGGGGTGACAAATCATGTTTGTGATCTTTCAGGGAACAAAGATAGTGAATGAAAGTGTGCCACTCCTAAAAGATTGCAAACATGTGTGTGCCACTCGTGAAAGATTGCAAACAAATGGGTGCCACTCAGAGCAGATTGTAAAGAAATCAGTACTGATGCCATCTGGGACCAGCCTCTGCATATGTAAACATGGTCAATCACACTGGACTATGACTTGGATAGGCAGACAAGTCAATACAGTGACAGGCTGACTAATATATGTAGTACATGTATATGTATAAAGCACATACACTGGATAGTACAGCCTGAACATTGGGACAATTAGTGGTGTTGCAGGTGATTGTACAGTGTAATTGTACAAGGACATGTAACATGCTTGTACAACTGCCATGCATATGTATTGCTACTGTACAACTACCTGTGCAACTGTACAAGGAGTTGTACAACTACTTGTACATCTACTTGTACATAACAACTTGTACAACTACTTGTACATCTACTTGTACAGGGACTTGTACAACTACCTGTGCAACTGTACAAAGACTTGTACAGCTACTTGTACATCTACTTGTACATAACAACTTGTACAACTACTTGTACATCTACTTGTACAGGGACTTGTACAACTACCTGTGCAACTGTACAAAGACTTGTACAGCTACTTGTACAAGGGCTGGTACAAGGGCTTGTACAACTACTTGTACAAGTAGTTGTACAACTACTTGTACAGTGACTTGTACAAGGGCTTGTACAAAGGCTTGTACAAAGACTTGTACAAGGGCTTGTACATGGGATTTGTACAAGGACTTGTACAAGGGCTTGTACAAAGGCTTGTACAAAGACTTGTACAAGGGCTTGCACAAAGGCTTGTACAACTACTTGTACAACTACTTGTACAGGGACTTGTACAGGGACTTGTACATCTACTACGTGCAGTCACAGAGCAGTGCGAGCAGAACTCTGAGGCCGGGCAACGTACAGCACGACGCACACAGTGATCGTGAGCATGTAGGGCCAATTCGCTACGTGCACAGACAGCCGACGGATGGACAGCATGCGCGCGCAAGTGAGCAAGCAAGTGGGTGACAAGGCGGGTACAGGGCATGACAACGCCCAGCACGACACGGACACGGACAGTGACCATATGCATACAGGGTGAATACCCTGTGTGCAAACATGGCCGTCAGCAGGTGAACATGGCCATAGGCCTTCTTTAAAGGTTTGTGAATGTGCATGGCACATCGATGACAATTCTTCTGACCATCTTCACGATAAGGCTATAGAGCTCGACTAGTACGACCCAGGCTCCCGACTCGGGCTTTCTCGATCACATCACCAAATATTGTGATGGCACCGGTACCACCAGACGGCTGTTGCGCGAACGCAAGGTCCTGCGCTTTGTCCCATTTGGCTCACCACTCGATAAGGATCCGACCGAGGCGGGCGACTTAAGCTTACTGGGTACTAGCACCGGCGATGTGGCTACACCGTTTGAGCCATCAATTGAGGCCGCAGTACAATCGATATTGACCCGTTAGGCGGAGCTGTCATTGACTGCCATCCCGACACGAGGCATTCGTGCCGTCCCACTAGCCCGAGTGCGCAAGCCTGAGCACAATAACCGAGCGCAGTTGGAGGAAGAGGGACAGAACGAATGACGGGTAGGAGTGGTGAACGAAGAGACAGGAAAGCAGAGGCGTGAAACCCAAGGTCGGTCGTTTTTAGCATTCCTACTGACAGCTTCTGTTTTCAGTCACCATGCTCGAGCAAATGCATTGACAAGCAACAACTTGCAGTGCCTATTTGTCCGCCAGTCCCGCCAGTCCGTGCCCGCCCTCGCCCTCTTTGCTTGCACGCCCGCCCGCGCGCTCTCCCCGTCTCCTTTGCTCAGCTTACGCGCCCGCCTGCTTTGTTCGCCCACCTGTTGAATGGCCCGCCCGCCCTGCCTCACATTGCAGCCCATTCCCATCCTTCTCCCTGGCTCGCCCTCGCCCTTTCGCTGTCGCCCTCTTGCTTGCCCGCTTATCCTCTCGCGCCTACCTGCTTGCACTCTCGCGCCTACCTGCTTGCACTCTGGTGCCTGCCCGCTTACCCTCTTATGCCCACGTGCCCGCCCTCTCGCACCCGCATCACCAGTCTGTCCTGTATGCCCATCCTCTCGTTAGCTTGCCCTCCCGTTCTCGTTGCTCTTCTCTCGCCCATTCACCCCTACCCTGTCCGCGTGTTCTTGTACGCCCGTGATCGCCCTGTTGCTAGCTCGACCACCCGCCCGCCAACACGTTCTTTCCTGCCTGCATTTGTCCTCTTACCCGACCACCGCCCACCCGGGCCTGCCCTTCCGTCTTCGGCTTCATGCCTGCTCGCCCTCGACTTCTTGGGTCCCCAGCAGTTCTGAGGGTAGAGCCGTTGAGGTCGACTGTACCTCCGACACCGATGAGGGAGGAACTCAGCCCGCTTACGCCTCGGGAAGCCTGCAAGGTTGCAACGCCGCAGGAGGTTGTGTCAAAGCCAACAATCCCGAAGGAGGCATCGAAGGCGGCAACACCGAGGGACGCTACCGACGTCCAAGGAGGCCTCCCGGAGCCCCCCGAGGTGTCGAAGGTGCTGACTCGGTCAACATGAAAGGCATCTGCATAAAAGGTGTTAGCTCTGCGTGCCTGCGGTGGACATTTGCGCTGTGCAGCCTGTGCTGCACGTCGCCGTATCCTGTACATGCCGTCCATCCGTCCTCGCCTATCTCCCAGCTGCTTGCCCTCCCTCGCCATCCGCTCGCTTCCGTCCTCGTTTGCTGTGTACTCGTCCTCGTCTGTCTCCCAGCTGCTTGCATGTCTCTCCCAGCCGCTCGCCTCCCCCGCCACCCGCTCGCTCCCGTCTGCGCCCGCCATCTACTCGTCCTCGCCTGTCTCCTAGCCGCTTGCTGCCCTTCACCGCCGTCTGCTCGCTCGCGCACGCCCCTCACTGTCCGCTCGTTCTCGCCTGTCTTCTAGCTGCTTGCCTGTCTCTCTAGCTGCTCGCCCTCCCTCGCCACCCGCTTGCCCTCCCTTGCCGTCCACTCGCCCTCCCTCGCCGTGTGCTCGCCCTCCTCCGCCATCCGCTTGCCCGTCCGTGCCCTGCGGTTTGCTCGTCCTCGCCTGTCTCCCAGCCGCTTGGCTGTCTCTCCCAGCTGCTCGCCCTCCCCCGTCACCCGCTCGCTCCCGTCCGCTCGCAGTCATCGCTGCTCGTCGGTATGGCTCTGCGTGTCGGCTGTGTTTGTACGTGGGGCTTTTGCCCTCTGCGCTCGTGGGTGGTGTGTGTTCTGTTGTGCGCTCCTGTATGTCTACTGCCTACTCGCCCTCCCTCAGGCTTGTCCTTCGGCCATTCACGCATGGTCCGTTCCTCGGCCATGTTTGCACACAGGGTATTCACCCTGTATGCATATGGTCACTGTCCGTGTCCGTGTCGTGCTGGGCGTTGTCATGCCCTGTACCCGCCTTGTCACCCACTTGCTTGCTCACTTGCGCGCGCATGCTGTCCATCCGTCGGCTGTCTGTGCACGTAGCGAATTGGCCCTACGTGCTCACGATCACTGTGTGCGTCGTGCTGTACGTTGCCCGGCCTCAGAGTTCTGCTCGCACTGCTCTGTGACTGCACGTAGTAGATGTACAAGTCCCTGTACAAGTCCCTGTACAAGTAGTTGTACAAGTAGTTGTACAAGCCTTTGTGCAAGCCCTTGTACAAGTCTTTGTACAAGCCTTTGTACAAGCCCTTGTACAAGTCCTTGTACAAATCCCATGTACAAGCCCTTGTACAAGTCTTTGTACAAGCCTTTGTACAAGCCCTTGTACAAGTCACTGTACAAGTAGTTGTACAACTACTTGTACAAGTAGTTGTACAAGCCCTTGTACCAGCCCTTGTACAAGTAGCTGTACAAGTCTTTGTACAGTTGCACAGGTAGTTGTACAAGTCCCTGTACAAGTAGATGTACAAGTAGTTGTACAAGTTGTTATGTACAAGTAGATGTACAAGTAGCTGTACAAGTCTTTGTACAGTTGCACAGGTAGTTGTACAAGTCCCTGTACAAGTAGATGTACAAGTAGTTGTACAAGTTGTTATGTACAAGTAGATGTACAAGTAGTTGTACAACTCCTTGTACAGTTGCACAGGTAGTTGTACAGTAGCAATACATATGCATGGCAGTTGTACAAGCATGTTACATGTCCTTGTACAATTACACTGTACAATCACCTGCAACACCACTAATTGTCCCAATGTTCAGGCTGTACTATCCAGTGTATGTGCTTTATACATATACATGTACTACATATATTAGTCAGCCTGTCACTGTATTGACTTGTCTGCCTATCCAAGTCATAGTCCAGTGTGATTGACCATGTTTACATATGCAGAGGCTGGTCCCAGATGGCATCAGTACTGATTTCTTTACAATCTGCTCTGAGTGGCACCCATTTGTTTGCAATCTTTCACGAGTGGCACACACATGTTTGCAATCTTTTAGGAGTGGCACACTTTCATTCACTATCTTTGTTCCCTGAAAGATCACAAACATGATTTGTCACCCCCATGGTCACAATACTTCATGTATCTCTTCATGTGAGCTGTTGGAATTGAGAGGGTACACTGCAGCTAGGTGTGCCACTGCTATCTATTTCCAATACTTCATGCCCAAATCTTGAGTACAATGTTCCCAATATTTCAGGAGAAGAGTTTGTGGAGAGATCATGAACAATGTTACACTTCAATCAGAGACACAAGCTTCAAAATTGCATTCTAATCCTATCACCATCTTTCTGCACACATGTGCTGTGATAGGATTGCAATCATACTTTCCAATCTTTCATACCTAAAAGACAGTATTCACAGAACTCAAAACTTCCTTTGAAAGACCTTTGGAATACATTAGACATGGAGGATTGTGAAGCCTGTCACAATCATTTGTCAATATTACATGATGTGATTATGGAGAAACAAGTTTGTAACTTATCACTCTGCAATCCTTTTGATGTCTGTTCACAATCAATTTGGCCCAAAATATTCATTCTGCATCTGAGAACTTTCTGCAAGCTTCTACATTGAAAGATCAGAGATGTTATGACCAAAACTCATTTCCAATCTTTACACCAATCTGTCTTCAATACTGCACACAGAATGATTCAAAACAATGTCTACAATCTTTTTAGGAATCTGTCTCCAATATTGTGCACACAATGATCGAACATAATGTTTGCAATCATATTACTAATCATTCATACCAAATATGGGTAAAAAGATTCGAACTCTTTTTCCAATCTTTCGGGACGAAAGATTCCGACTCTCGCCCGGTGAATGCTCGAGTGTCTTACGAGGCAGCTCGAGGCGGTTGGATCCTTCCGTGCTTCTGGCTGCATCTGGACGCCTGGATCTTTGACCATCGAATAAGTCCTCCCAAAGGTAGGAGGGCCTCTATTAAGTTGAGAGCCCTCGCATGTACTGTAGTATGTATCACGGTAAGTAAGTTCGCCGTGTGGCTCAGACTCGTGGAAGCCCGAGACGCCCGGGCGGCGAAGCCGCCGCGGGCGTGAGGGCTTCCAATTGAGTCTCCATACCATTCCGATGGTACTTACAATTATTTAAATACACACATAATATACTATGGTGCCGCTGTGGCAGGCTGAGTATAATAGCTGTGTACCATGCAGGAGTCGGGGATCGGCGCTTGCGCCGCTACGATCTATTTATGTGGGGCAAGTTGAACCATTGCGATCGGACATTGCCGACAACGGTCACGGGAACCACGGGCCGCCAGCCCGTGGACAAATCAGGCCGTCAAGCCACAGTCAATTCATGGTGGCATCATAGCCCGATACGTACACGATCGATCAACCGTCGCGGAAGTTTGCGCTGGTCCTGCGGTCTGGTCACGGTCGGATTCTCCGGATTCGGTATGAACAATGGCCCTAGCATTTGTTCCATTGCGGAGACAGCCGAGACAGAACCTGACTCTGCTATGGCTCGTTGCCTTGACCGCTGGTCGCGTCCGAATTGAGAAAAGTGTTGTCACCTGTGTGCTCGTGCTCATGGCTAGTTCTTTTGTTCTCCTGTTTTAGAAGAAGGCATTGCCTGGGTGTGTCCGTTGATGCCAGATCAGCAGCTGATCTCTGTTCAGATAACTTCATGGGATTCTTGGTCATTGCCGCGCCGCTAAGTGCCTGTATATAAGGCCAGGTGGGCATAACCCGGAGCCGCAACACAGCTTGGCGGCAGCCCTTGCCATCTCTCGCCTCGAAGCTCACGCGCTCACGTACCAGCTTGGGGTGCATTGCCATACGCCTCCCACTATTCCACCATGCAGCTGCGCAAGCCGAAGACGACGAGCTCCCAGCCACCGAAGACAACGGGCTCTCAGCCTAAGGTCGGCCGGAAGGCCACGGTTCAAATGCGGACGCGGTTCGGCCTCTGGGCCATGCCCGAGGTCAGACGCCCGAACACACCGTTCACTGAACTGTCAGTGCGTATAAATATATGTGTTCTGCTTGACCCGCAACACCGAGGTATGGAAGAAAATCACCAAAATCATGTTTAATATTCTGGCTTGCGATTTGGCCGGCTTCTGAGTATTCATTCTAGACGGGCAGAGCCCTATCGGACGCTTTCTAGCAGGCCGGCGCTTATGTAGTACACACTCTAGGCAGGCTGTCGATGACTGCGTCGAACTTTGGGAACACAGTCGCAATGAGGAATTGGAATCAGGTCTCTCCAAAAGCTAACATTAATAGTATCATTAGATTAGTAAGTACTGCGTGTTCTCCGAGTCAGTGTACTAGTAGTACTGGTGGAATTATCTACTATCACTCCGAACCCGAATCGTCGCGTTCCGAGTCACGGTCTTTGCGGCTACTGTTATCTCCCGACAAGCTCATCTCCATGCAGATGCGATTACATTCGTGTTGCTTCACGAAAGCATCGATCCCCTCCTGACCATGGTCTCCAACACCTGAATTTCTGTTGAGCTCGGTGCATCAGTCCGAGAAAAGATAGGAGGTGTGTTCATTGACATACCCGTCCTGAGTATGTGTCATCATGTCAAAAACGACATCAACCACCGCATTATCAATAGCAGCAACTGTGCCTATGAGTTGCCAAATATCAATGAAGAAATTGATCAAGCTCATCAGCAACTAAACAGATAACTCGATGACAAACAGAGCGTACTCTGTAGATCGGCAGCGACAAGCTGAGAGTTTGAGTAGCGGTAGACAAAATGGGCAAATGCAGACATTGTCTGCGCCTTCTGGCCAGCACCAGCAGGGTGTGACATTGTGCCACTCCAGCGGTGGACGGATGTTGCTCGTCGAGGCTCAATTAGCCAGTAAGCTCCAGCTTTCTCGGGCTCGCTGTCGCTGTCAATAGCCAACTGTGTGACATCGGAGGCTGTCGAAAAGCAACCATCGTCACTGACGATCTCTTTGGCGAGGTATGTATGGACAACACGGAAAGCTAATATAAGGCAATGGATGCGGCGGACTCGCAGTTAGTGAGCAATCATAGACAGATGAACATTGAAGACGAACACATGTCAGCCTCAATATCCCTCTCACGTACAAGCTTGTAGAAGCTCTCGAGGAACCACTGGCCTTGGAAGGCGCGACACACCTCCTGATAGAGGTTCTGATAGTTCTGAGATGGGGTTACACCGGCAAGGGTACCACCACCAATGTTGTAGAACCGTTTTGCGACGTAGGTAGTGCCCTCCATGAAAAGCTGTAGACATATAAATACATTAGTACCATGAATTTGTACAGCCTGAGCATAAGTAGCATGCATACCCAGTACACGTGCTTCGTCTGACCTGAGCTTAGTTCCTTGACATCAATCTTCGCCATGACAGTCATTAGTACGGCAGGCCAGGTGATATCGACAGAACCAGTAGTGACGTCTGTATGGACGTCTGCGAGAACAAGACTGATTGTCTCGGCCTTGTTAATATCCGCTGAAGCGGAGCTAGGCACTCGCACAAATGATGACGTTGGGAACGTGTTAGAGATATCTAGACCGAGAATGCTCAGTCAGTAGAAGAAGATTTCTGCGTCACTGTGAATTGTACTAGAAAATCAGGACTTACTCCGAGGTTGTTTTGCAAGCGGAAGAGAAGTCCGAACAACAGCATCAGCTTTGCGTCTTGTGCTCTTTCGGATGGACGTGATTGTCTCAGTGTCTCCAATGCGATCTTGGTACTGATTTGAAAGTAAAAGAAATAATACTCGTATCAGCGAGAGCACATCATTGGAATCAATGGTACTTACAGCGTCCATCTCGATCAGTAGCTCAAGTGTAAGACTGCGCGAAGCCTTTGCGAGACCAGGTACCTTAAGAGCCTTCCCCGCATAGATGTCCTTGTTAGGGCCTGTTGTATGCATACGGTAGAAGTCGGACAGCGTGAGAACTTCACTTCCTTCGATAGGGAGCTTGTTCCCTTCGAAGCGAAGGAAAACCTCATCACTGACTCGGAGGAATGTTCAATAAGCCTTGACAACAAACATAAAAAATAAAGACCTACCGTCGCAGTGCCCTAGGGTACTTCCCGACCCAGGTTTTATTCCAGACATCAAGGACTCGAGCAATGACATCTGACAAATCAACGTAAGCAATTCAGCACAATTGGAGTTGACTGGCCCTTTCTTACCTTCAATCAAAAGATCATCATCGTAGGCAGCAATCTGTGTGCCAAGGCGGGAATCAAGCTTCTTTGCCCGTCGTGCATGAAACGTGAGCCAAACTGGACGACTTGATGAGGACTGCATAGGAGGACCACCTGAATGCGTGGGTATACGTCCTAGACAAGCAGAGTTGAGAGATTCTGTAGTTAATGGGATCGCAGATGCTGTTGCCGCCTGAGAAATATGTGCATTTGCAGAGTCACGAAGTCCAGCCTGAGCCTGTGTACGTGCTGGTGTCTGCATGCGGGCCTGGAACGCACTGCTACGATGTGTTTGAGCGGCCTCGACACTTTCGTGAATGAGACCTTTATCCTAGTGGCAGTTATACGAGTTGTATATGAAATTATTAGTAGACAGTCAGTGGTTGCGACTTGCGATGCCATGCACACGTACCCGCTTGCATTGACCACAGAGCTCATTCTGAAGTCTTGCTGCAGTGACGCCGCACTCGCTGCATTGAGGCCAGTCCTGGGTGCACATATAGTACATTAGATGACACTGTTGGTTACAGTATAAAAGTCGGACTGAGGACGTACACTCTTTCTTGTGAACTCGTCAGAATTTGGATCAACCTCGCTGAGAAGTATGCACTTCTGACATGGGCCAGGCTCAGTCTTCCTTGGGAAGAAGTTACGGCACGAGAGGACCTGAGAATCATTCAGACTTAAGCAGATATTTGGATCATCGACTTCAGCCATGTGTGACGCCGAGTCAGAGCGAGATATTCCAAAGTGTGCAACGTCACCGCCGTGGACGAAACAGACTCTGTGAAATATAGCAAGTTCATATATACTCGCTCGACTGCCGCTCCCGGTCGCTTCATCATAGCCTAAGAATAACTCACTTTGAAATAAACACGTAGCAGCTTCAGAAGCAACAGGGTGACGGCGCCATCATAGCTGTAGTCCGTTCCAAGTCAGGGTTTGTGTGAAATGCAGCGTCCAGTTTGCGTCTGAGTCATGCTTCTTGTGAAAATATGGGGTCCTTGGCTTGGCTCTGCATCGCTCCATCCGAGCCCGCCTCGCTGTACGTCTCATTTATGTTTCAGTGACTCTTTTCCAGTGTCCCGCCTCGGGTGCCACTGAATTCCCACGCCTGCCTGCTGTCTCAAGTGGCCTGTAGGATAGAACATACGTTCAAAACATATATACTATCGCCTAGAAAACACATCTAATGTCTCAAAACACTCCCCTATCGGTTCTATGGCTTACAATGGGCTCCCCCATCCCTTTTCTGACCCAGCCACGCAGAGTTCGGCCAAAGTGGCTGACTTTCCCACGCCCTGTCCCAGGGCCTTCTGCATATTGTGAGCTCAACATACATTCAAACTACATAAGCTATTGGGGATGCACTGTGTCTGCATGCCCATGATGCGTTCCAAACAATTCCATGCCTTACAGTGGGCTCCCTCATCTATTTTCCTCCCTGCACAGACGGGCATAGGCCGAATTTGGCAGGTGTGGCTGAACTTCCCATGCATCGTACATCTGCACTCGTGCGGATTGATATTTGTGCGGCAGTCTCGACTCTCCAGCGTATTCTGCAGAATTTGCCTGACCGTGGTTCGTAACCAATTACCTCGGTGCTTTGTATTTTCCCTCTGATCCGTCTTGCCAAGACCAGTGTTCACTTCCGTCCTTCGTTGTTTGCGATCACTGATCATGATTCACCTCCTCATCCACTTGGGGCTTAGTCTCACCCCTCGGCCTCTCGACTCGTTGGCCCTCAACCCGCCGCCATGGCCAGAAATCCTTTGCTCAAAGACAAACCTACGGCAGGCAACAATCGCGCAGGCAAGAATGGGCAAGACAACGGAAACTGTAAGTCTCAAGGCTTAGATTCGAAGTTGAATATACTTGGTTTTGATTGTGACGTGCTGTAGGGCCGGAAGCGCATATTTTGAAGGATGCACTTTATCGCTACTCGAAAGAACGCCTCCCACTTTCCAGGCGTATCAAGCGATTGCACCACGAGTTCAGTCTCGATATTGGGTACGTTTCTGTTCCACATACTGATTTTGAAACATTTCCATTGACGGAAAGCCATAGCCTGACTCTTCTGAAGAACCTCAACAAACACTTTCAAATCCCTTCGTCGCGAAAGGCTCAGAAAGGCATGATCGCGACACAGACCATCCTGAACGAGATGGCCAAGGATCCATCAGGACGACGTGGTATCGGTGCAATGCAAACGAGCCTTGCTATTGCCGGTACACCCCTCCCTCGGTCAGTAAGATAGTAAGTAGCCCTTGGTGAGCTCCAGAGTTCATATTTTGTTTGTTTTGCAGAAGTGTCATACGGGACGTTGTGCGGACGAATGATCCTGATGGTGTTGAGGCACGCTATCCTGGACGAAAACCTCAAGCAATTGTGCGAGGCAAGCTTGTTGCTATTGGGCCCATGTACGAAGTCCATTGCGACGGACATGACAAACTTGGTGCCTTTGCGCTACAGATGGGCGGCGTTGGGCTACCCATATATGGCTATAAGGATAAGTGTTCTAGTCTATGTCCCCAGCTTGTCACCATTCCGAACAATCGCAAGACGGAGATCGTAGGACACACATACTGTGATTTGGTCAGCGAACTTGGGTGTATGTCTTTAATTCCAACTTGTCACGTCCTGAGTTACTGATGAGCCATTACTCGTTCTGTCACTGCACTCTCTATAGGTATTCCATTGCAACTCACGTTCGATAAAGGCTCGGAGACGGGTGAGCTCTATGCTATGCAGACGGCATTTCGGTGCGAACTTGCTCACCTCTCTGGCATGTCATCATGAAGCTGATCACGTCTTGACTTGGATGCTTATCTCTACAGCGAAGTATATGCACCAAACATCGACCCAGTGGCGTATCCACCGTGTCACGCGATGAAGAGTGTTCATAACATCCCAATTGAAAGTTTCTGGCACGTATTCCGGGAGCACACTGGCCGCAATCTGCATATGGCCATTGTACAGGGTAAGCACGACGGTATCTTCCACTGTAACGACGAGTTGCACGAGTGAGTTCTTGAGCTACTCACATGGTACTCAGCGTAGCGAGTCGGAAGCGACTTCTCGACTGACAATGATTGGCAGGCACATCTTCTATTGGATCTGGCCTCGCATCGTCCAACAGGAGCTCAATAGCTTCCGCGATTATTGGAACATGCACAAGATTCGCTTTCAGCGCAACAAGCTTATGCCTTCGGGTACGACACCCACAGACCTCTGGATTTCTCCCGAGGATTTTGGCCACGAACGCATCAGTATCCCTGTCCCCCGCGATGCTGTGGAAACCATGCGTAGGAAGCGTCTGCCATCATCTCGGGATGCAGCATATTCCTGGGTCGATCAGGACTTCGCAAAACGCGCCGAGCAGGCATACGATCTACTTGGTTGTCCGCTCCTCGCGAAGGAAACAGGATGGGATGTCTTTGGTAGAATAGAACCATTGCTGAGGCAGAAGTCATCAGGAAAATCTGGATTCCCTAAACTTGACTATCTTAGTTCTAATTAGTCTCATCATCCTAATGACACTCTCATTGAGCATGATTAGTACTAATCAGGATAACATGCATAATCTAGTTCATACTATGAAGATCTTATTCATGTTAGTTGTAAATGTTGATAATAGTTCATAATCCTCAGCACATTGAGACATACATATGACTACTGTACAGCTATGCCTGTCAAAATGTTGAACAGCATGGAAAGTAGAGCATTCTTCAAAACAATACTAGTGATCCATTCACAAGATGCAACTGGCCCCAGTCATAGATATCACAAATGGAATGAAGAGACTATGATATCAACAGCTCATACATGAGCTCTATTTAGTATACAGATATGAGACAGAGGCAAACATCGAGAGAGGGGCTGGCAGAAGCAATATATCTGCATGTGGCTAATTGTCCTTCAAACAGAGTGTTCAGTCGGCAAGCAGGCAAACGAGCAAACAAATGAATGGGTACGTGAACGAATGGGCGGGACGGCGGGACAGCGAGCGAATGGGTCGGCGGGCAGACAAACGAGGGAGCATCAGGCCAGCGCGAGCAGGGAAATGCGATGCGAGTGCGAGAGTAATTGACCCACTGAACATACCCTTGGCACGGCGGGTACGGCCTGCACGGTGAACATACGTCTCGGCGCTCGGGAGCTGGATGACGCGTGAGGGTAGTCGACGCCGCGCGCAGATGCGTCCAAGGTGACGAGGACCGTGCGCTTGCTTGCGACCGGAACGATGCACCGGTCTTGTCATATCGCACCGCACTCAACTTGCTCAGACGGTCCTCCTCCACCTTCCGCTTCGCCGCTGCGCGCTTCTCCTCTTCCTCCTCCTTCTGCTCGCGCTTCGCCTCCTCACTATTCTGCGTCACAATCTCTTCGCGCACCTTCTTCGGCTTGTTCTTCGTCTCGGGTCTGAGCTGCGCGCCGAGGCCTCCGCGTATCCCGGTCGCCTTGTCCTCGCCCGCGATCGTGTCGACGAGCTGCCAGTGGAAGGCGGCTTGGATCAGGGGTAGTGTAGCAGCAGTAGTCAGACGATGGGGGTGACGTCCGCGACTCGGACATGGCCGTGAGCGAGGGCGGGAGGGACGACTGGTCGGTCGTCTTGGTGAAGGAGAGGTCCCAGCCGCGCGCGCGGATGCCCTCCAGCTCGTCCTTCGCGACGATGGCGAAGATCGACAGTCGAGCGTTGAAGTCAATGTCAGAAACGTGGGCGCGGACGTCGTCAAGGCGGGCGTGCATGTCGGTAAACTCGAGGTCCGGAAGGCGAGCGCACATCTAGCATGTCGGGGATGCACGCCTGAATCTCGTCGGACTCAGGTACGTCCGGTATGTGGAGACGTGGTGGCGTAGCGAGGCGGGTCAGATGTTCAGAGAGGGGCGCAAGGATTGGCAGATAGTGGTCGTCCGGGGAGCACGGCGAGCACCTCGGTCAGCGGCCTCTGGCATTGAGTGACGAAGTGGCTATACCACGCGATGTGCTGACAGGGCGCGTGCGTGTACGGTCTTCGGATCGAAGCAGAAGTGGGCGAGTAAGCGAAGGGCTGGATGAGCGGGCGGACGGACGAACGAGCAGGCGTGTGGGTGGCCAGACCAGATGGACGAACAGGCCGGCGGACAAGCGAGTGAGAACGCGAACAAGTGGGCATGCAAGTAATTGAGAGGGCAGGCGAGCAAGTAGGGGTCGAGCCGGTGGGAGAGTGGGCGAGCGAGCGGCACAGCGAGCTATCTGCCAATGAGCCAGCACGGGCATGCACTGAAACCACACGCAGCGAAAGGAAGGTACATCGAACGGGGGCGCACCTTTGGTTTCGAGCCTTTGCGCTCGCTGTAATTTCCCGAGTTGCCCTTCAAGCTTCATGTTCCACCCACCCTCTATCTCCCCCTTCCGCGTTCGTTTCTGTATGACCAGGAGATGGCGCGGGAGCTTTGACGCGTGGGGGTCGGCCATGGTAGTTGGTAGTAGCAGTCGTGGTGAGCCGCGAGTTGAAGACGACGGTCCAGTGAGTGGGCAGATACAGTAACCACGCGGATGGCGCGGAGACGGGCGGACGAGCGAGTGTAAGCGAATGGGCAAGACAGTGTGCGAGTAAGCAGATGAGTCGACGCGTGCGGCGAGTGGTGGGCGGGCGAGATGTCATTTGGACTCTGGCGGTCGTCGAGTCGTTGTCGAGAACCGGGCTCGGGCGCTAAAGACTTGGCTCACGTCTCGCAGTAGTGCCACGTCGCCAGCATCCGCCCCACCCTCCTCGCGACTACCTTCCCGCACCCACCCCTCCTGTGCATGCCCATCCTCTCGCGCCCTCTCGCTGTCTCGTTTCCACCTGCTCTCACCTGCCCGCTCGCTTGCCCGCTCGCTTGCCCGCTTCTCCCGCCGCCCGCTTACCCGTCCTCGCTGCCTGCTCACCAGCCTTCGCTGCCTGCTCACCAGCCTTCGCCGCCTGCTCACCAGCCCTCGCCGCCTACTCGTGGCACTTCATCGACCGTCTCGCCCGTCTCGCCCACTGGGACCTCCCTGTCTGGCGCTCTCGCCGTTTCTCCGCTGCTCACCGTTCTCGGTCGCTAACTTGCTTGTAGGCTGTCGACCTGCTCGCTCGCCCGCTCGTCCCCTGCTCTTGCTCACCCGCCTGCTCACTCCCTTCCCAGCTTTCCTGTCAGCTAGCTCGCTCACCGGCTCGGTGGCCCGCTCTCACCCTCTCCCTTGCTCACCCATCTGCTCGCGCACAATCTGTCTCACTCTCTGATAAGGTAGTTTACTTGAGTAGGTGTGTCGACGAACCGTTGTGCCTACTTGCCCAGCAGTCCGCGCAGTGTCCGTCCTGCTCTCTCGTGCCCCCCCTTTCGTGCCCGCTCGCCGTCTCACGCCCGCCCGCTCTCACGCGTCTCGTCCGCCGTCTGCCTACCAACACCCTCGGTAGCTGCCCACTGTCACCTCTTCGCTGGCTTGTCCACCCTCCCGATCTTGCTTGCGTGCTCATTCTTGTCCTCTCGCCCCTCTTGCCAGCTCACGTACTTCCCTACTCGCTTGCCCGCCCTTGTCTGTCCGCGCTTGTGTCCCACTAGCTCGTTCGTCCACCCGCTCTTTCCCGTCCGCCTGTCTTGCCCGCCCGCACCCTCACCCTCCTGCCAGCTCACTTGTGCGCGTGTTCGCTCTCGCCTCTCCCACCCGCTCGCCCTGTCTCCTCTGTACGCCCTCGCGGTTGCCTACGAGGTTGATAGCGACAACTTTGCATCTGATGGCAACGGTTCCGAGCTCATTGGCCTTCTCAAGACCTTCAACTTGGACACCATGTATACTACGTACGATGCGCAGGCTCTCGGCGTGCAAATGCCGCTGCGCGACCACCGGTATCTCTTTCCCGGCGATGTTAAGGTACGTATGTTAGAGTTGCCCTGTATTGATATTGACCTACCCACCCAGCACGTTTCCGCAATGGTACACGCCTTCAAGCGTGCACTACCACGAGCACATTGATAGCTCCAATCGGAGCGGGGACTGTAGTCGACGAATGGGTGGCGGTGAGTACAGATGCAGACAGATGAATGAGCTGACTGCCCGCACAGGGTGCGGCGGCGTGCAGTACAACATGTACGACGACCGCGGGCACGCAGGGCTAATGCCCTGCGTGTTAGACACGGCCGATGGGCGGTCGACGAGTAGGCGGGCGAGTCGTCGGATGGCGGATGAGCAGGTGGAGCGGGCAATCCGACAAGTGGGCCAGCGGGTGTGCGAGTGAACATGCAGATGAGTAGGCAAGCGAGCGGGCAGGTACAGGGCTGACGGACAAGCAAGCAGATGGGAGAACTCGCGGACGGGCAGGCACACGGGCGCGGCAACCGTGAGCGTGCTGGGTAAATGCCTAGTGCGCAGACTGGGCTACCAAATGCACGCGCTGGCGGGGCGGGCACACAGGCCAGCAGTTAAACGAGTGGGGTGTACGTGCAGGTGAGCAAGCGGGCGTATGTACAGGTAAGCGGGCAGGCAGGTGACCTGTCCTAGGCTGAGGGTACAGTAGATTACTACGTACACTGTTGTTGCTCAGTAGATATGCATCTGGAATACAGCCTTTGAATCATTTATTGTGGTGGTGCGAGCATGCGCTCACTCTCCTCTACTTGATGTATTGAGGACTCATGGTGAAGGATCATAGCTAATGTATACGGGATTGTCAGAGGATTACATCTCAGATAGCTCTCATTAGAACTCATTAGGACGTCATTAGGGACTAATTAGTACTAATTATTTTGGGGGTAAAGGAATGGTGGCTAAGAGCTAAAGCTTCTAATTTGTACTAATTGTATCAAAATATGTCTCATATACTCCAATCACGTCTCATTAGGGAATTCAGGTTTTCCTGATGCAACCCGTACTAGTGTGAGACAGTACCCTAATGCCATACACTGAACTGTCAATCATTCAAGTTGGTACAGCTCGTATTCTGCTGAGACGGAGCCGAAGCATGACGAGCCGAGTGCAGAAGAAGGCTATGCGGAAGGAGTGGCACGCGTGGCCTCTACAGCCTCTGCACCGTCACTCCGGATTCCCTAGGCTCATGTATTCACAGCTCTAGGAATCCTCTCCATTCTTTTCCCGACCCTTCGACCCCCAGCATCGTGTTCCGACTCAAAGTTCACATCGGCCACAGACGACTGAGTTTCGGTGGCTCAACGCATTTCATCCCATGGGCCACGATCTGGGTTCACCGTGTGAAACCTGCTATTGCCCGCCCGACCTAGCAGCTCACCGGTCCTGGGCAGACATTTTGAGGGATCGATCCATAGCTTATAGTAACTAAGTAGTGAGTACTGAAGTACTGAAGTTTGAAGCTGTGGTCCGTGCACGGATAGCGCCGAGCCGCGTCCGAAATCGAACTGTGGCCTTCCGGCGTACCATACTCAGCCACCGGAGATGACGAGCTCTCAGCCATCGGAGCCGACGAGCTCTCAGCCACCGGAGACGACGAATCCTCTGCCTAAGCCGTTTTCCTGGAAGAAGTCTTTCGTCTCTACCTTAGAGCAACATCTTCGACTCTTGAGTGTCTTGGTCACTCGCATACGAGATCACGATCTTGAAAGCGAACAATACCACTTTCTCAATTTCTCCCTTACCTTCATGGCAGGGCGCATGGACTTGAGGTTAATCACCCAGCGGGTTTGCAGGGCATTTCAGACTCCGCTGTGGCGCGGCCTCCCGTACGCGCTGTGGGGCAGGCCCACATGGGAACAGCGGTACGAGCCCGGAACGACACACGCACTCAGGCCCGGGCAATGCGGAGCGAAGCGACATCCATTGGCGGAAGGACGACTCGGCGGAAGGACAACCAATATAAGAACACGCGGGAGGAAGACGGCTACAGTACATGGACAACGGGCTCCTCCCCCATGGCGTCCTCAACCTCTCCTTCCTCCAGATCATCGACATCCCTAACCGGCGCGAACCGCAGGCGGCGAGGTACCCCAGAGTAGCCGTCCGGGACGTAGACTCCCTCCGACAGGCGGGCGTGCAAGTCGCGAACACCGCCCTCCACCGTATTCAGGCCTCGGGCGATACGAACAGCTTCGGAACGAGCGTCGCGGTTAGCGGTGCGGCACTCGTCTAGGAGGCCCTGGAACCGAGTAAGGAGGCTGTCGAGGCTGTCGGACGAAGCGCGGTAGGACGAGAGCTGTAAGGGACGCTCCAAGTAGCGAACCGGAAGGAGGGGACGACCAATCTCTGCGTCGGCCTGCTCGGCGGTGACCCGATTCGGGGCCCAGGCAATCAAAGGGAAGGGTTCGCCCACGTAGCTATGCTGCGACGGAAGAGTGAGGAAGACTTGGTCGAGGTACTCGATCAGCTCCTGCACGTCGGGATAGCGGCGGACGAGCGGAAGGGAAGCATCGCCGTGGGCCACTGCACGGGAACGAGAGTCGAAGAGCATTCGCTGCGGGGAGGACGGCTTAGAGGGGGATCAGGAATCAGGATGAAGGGGAAGACGCACGATTAACCACCGAGCTCCGTGGGCCCAGGCAAGCCACTCGTGGTCGCTATCGGGGTTCAGACGAGGCTCGACTACACGTTCGTCACGGAGAAGATCGATGAGGCGGTAGAACCGGGTGGTGAAGACGATGGTGGACGGGTTCGGGGGAGCATCGGCGGGCATTGCAGACGGTGGGGAAACACTGAGAGCCAGGGGAGGGAGCGGAAGGAGCTGGAGAAGGGTATGGCGAGGCGTCGGAAGGAGGCGGAGGGACCGGAAGGAGCT